TGGGATTCGGTCGTCGGCGACGACGAATCGATGCTCGCGTTGGATTAGTTTATATGAAAGCGCGGCGATATCGCTTATTTACACGATGAGGAGAGCGATTTATATCGCGGTGTCCGAATACGCGGTGTTGAATACGCGGAACTGAAACAAGTGACGTTTGTCACGCGCGGATGAATGATACCGGCTTTGATGGACCATCATGTAAAACACGCGGCCACCGTTGAACAATTGCCCAGGAAGCAGCCAATAACCACATGTTTTGTCACACCGTCGCTTTCGGGGTGCTCGAGCGAGTGTAGAACGAAAGTAAAAATACGCGAAACTCTGCCCCTTTTCGCCTCCTGTCAAGAGCGCGTCGTATCCTTGGAAAAGCGGCTTGTTTTTTTCTTTTTTTTTTTCTTACACACTTTTCCCCTCGTCATCGGTGCGATCGGAAAAATCTGGGAACCACCACTGATCGAAACGTGTGGCTGAAGGCGAAATGCGCGGAGGTAGATGGAATACCTGGTCCGCTGCCAAAAGTCGAAAGTCTACGCACCGACGCTGTCGAGCGCGTCTTCGTCGTTCGCGCTGTCTCTTCTCCTCCTTTTTATTCCCCCCTTTTTTGCGCTTTTCTTTTTCGTCTGCTGCCCGTTCCCTTTTCTCGCTTTCTCTCTCTCTCTCTCCTTCTCACAGTCCACGCGATTTTTTTAACTCGCTCTCTTCTGCACAAGATGCACCGCTCGCGTGTCCCGGAATAACGCGGCGTCCGCGGCTGCGCCGCGGCAGCATCTGGACATCTCGTCCTTCAGTCCTAATGGGCACGGCGCTTAATTAATCGCCCGACGTGCTCCGTCCTCGAAACGTCGCGTGTTGTAATTGGAGGAGGACTTTGATCTCAATCCATCGTGCGTGGCGCGACGTAAGGTGTAATAAGGGATCACGAATGACGGGTCCGCCGGTACAAAGCGGCTCCGGCCGCGTGTTACACGAGCTCGAGTATATAAAGTCGCGCGCTATGTCGGATACCTAATCGCCGGATAATTCCGAGCGAATCGTCCTTCGAGTTGGGTATGACTTGGCCGACGTTATTATTATTCCCGTCGAACGACAAATCGACGAGTTTCTCGGATGTCCGAAACGACGTTTACTCGCGAATAGATCGATTATTTTTGTGAAGATCAAAAGAGACAGGCGGCCGAGGTGTCGCGGATTTGTCGGCTCGAAGGTCTCGTCGTTAAAAATTTTTACTACCTCATTCGCTTTATTTAAAAATATCCCGGGTTTGCAATTTCCGTCGGATTTTATCGGCTGAATGCTTTTACGAATAGGACGTTATAAAAATACGCGCGTACGGAGAAAATGTTGAATTGAACGAGGTTGGGTGATTAAAAGATGTAAATTAAAAAAGATGGTTAATTTTGTAACCGAAGAACATATTGACATTCTGGCTTAACTCACACAGGGAAAATGTTGTAGTAAGAAGTTACTGCAAAAGTTTGTAATGCTGGAATATACCGGAATTATCATCGAAATTACTACGTGTGTTGTAGTCTTTAGTGATGTTTTATCATGCGTACACATCCGTAAAATCGCAAAATATTTCTATTCGAAAGAAGCTATAATTAATATTCTCCTCATGTGAGTCCACGCAATTATTACCGTCTCTTTCTGACGCGAAGCCTTTGTCGGAATCGGCCGCCAAACAGCGAAAGTTTATTTTAAATCGGTTCAGTTGTCCCGTTCGATGAAGCTTTTGTGTAACGTGCCCTATTATTATTGGCCGGGCGCATATATCCTGTACGTTTGCTTTGATGAGGCGTTTATGAAAATGGAGGGTACGGGTAAACTATTTTTAATACAGAGAGAGAAAGAGAGAGAGAGAGAGACCGGGGACAAAGTCCGCGGGGTTTTACGACGGGCGATTGCCCGGCGTTGATGGTTTTTATTCCGGTCTATTTTTGCCCACCTCTCGCTCTTTCCCCCGCCTTCTTCCCTCCTCTCTGTATCTTTGTATGTACCCTCAACAACGGCCAGATGCGTTTATCGGCCGGCACTGAGTTATATTACGAGCGATCGCGAATTCCGCGCGCGAAATGCACGCGTCTGGCGCCTCTCTCGGCGAGACCTCGGAGGAATTTTCCGAAATTGCCGTTACAAACAGCGGCAATAATTGCTGACCGTTGTCGTACGTGCGGATAAAGTTTCTATGTTTGCACATGTACAAGTTTATAATTAAATATTTCAGAAACAATACGGTAAAAATTATATTGAAAAGCAATTGCTCACTGTTAATTCTGATTAACTTTTATATCATATATATTTTTTTAAGGATCGAGCTTATCAACGAATAGCCAGTGAATTGTCGGTCTGACAAAAATCTGTCGTTAATAATTCTACCGGTTAATTGTCGATTAGATTAATGGAATTTCGAAGAAATCATCCCTTAACTAGAATTCGACGGGAGTCAACCTAAAAGTCGGGGAGCACTCTTGGGAACCGACGAACGCGCGTCAAAGACGCATTACCGTCTCGCTACCGCTCTAAATTGTAAATCAATAATGGCCTTGCATTGTCGTCGAATCACTTCGGGGTTCCTCTTCGAGGCGTCTTAACGGTCGTTGTAAATCAGCGGCGAACGGCTCCGCGGAACAAAACGTTGACGCCGCGCAACGTTAGTCCATTATTATATGCCGCGTTCTTGCATAAAAATATGCAACGCCGCGACACCTCGCTCTCATATTTTTCCCCCCTCAACCGCCACTGGCACAGTTAACCGCCGGTCGAAACGTCGGATGTTTAACGCCGTCGCTCGTTCACATCGTTTTTCATTGCAGCTCTTTATCGCGCCCGTACATTGCCAACAATGCGTCATGCACTTGTTTACGAGGGGCTTAACCGTCCAGAAGGGCAGACCGCCTCTTTTTAAACCAACATTGTGTCAAGAATCGCTTGATTTATCGCTCGGGACGCACGCGGCCGCTGTTGCAGACGAGGGGTTTTCGAAGGTCCGCCTGATAATAGGCAAAAAATAACTGCAAACACACGTTCGATTCCTCGATTATCATCGGTAGATGATCTGGACTCGCGGCGGTCGATATTCAATTCTCGTGATATTTAATTCTGCAGTCCAAAAGTGCCGATAACGCGCTTCCGTCTGACTCACTACTCTCTTTCACGAGAATAGCGGGGAATCGCTACTTTTGCGCCCGATTTACACTTTATCGTGCCGTTTAAACGGCAATACACCGCACCGAGTCCCTGGCGCGCACGTGCGCCCGCCCCAACTATTGCCTCACGATGAAATACTCCGACCAGGAATATACGAGCAAATAATCGCGCGTCATAAGCCGGCCAAAAGCGGCGCATACGTCTTATTCATCGTTCCTAAATTCTAATTCGTACGTCGCGTGGCCAGGATACTTCGAGCACCATCAATTACGCGGCTCGATGTGCGCTAAATAAAATGCACGCGCTCTCGATCTCAAGTTATTTATCGCCGGAAGGATTATTTATCGTCTCTTGCGGGATCTCACATCGATTATCGCGCGCATCGCGTGATAAATGGAGCGCGCGGAATCGTGAGACGAACTTTGCGCGCGCGTTCTGACGTTCCGGCATCTTTTCCCTTAACATATTTCGTCATTTTGTAATTTTACGTGCATATTACATTGGGTTGTTGACAAATTCTTTTATGAGAAAGTTCTTCTAAAAGACTTGAAAAGATCCGAAAGATTATTATAATTAATTAGAGCCATCATATAAGTTGGAGCTGTTATAAATAGAACTATTATCCTTATCATATTTTAAAACTAGTTGTTTTTTTATCGAAAACCTAATATTATTTTCTCCAAATAACACTGTCTTTCTCTATCAAACAACATGATATATTATACACGTAACAACAATATTTTCATTCAAGCAAAATGATGTTTGACATTAAATTACATTGTTTGCATTAAAAAAATCCAAGTCAAAGAAAGACGTATCTAATGCGAAATCTAAAGGAAAGCTCTTTCTCTCGGTCGTCTCCTCGGAGCTGGAAAATTCGACGTTACCGCGGGAATCTCCCGATGCGACCGCGAAAAATCGTCTCGGGCGTATTTCGCCGGTCGACGAGCGCCGAAAACGCGACTTCACGCGCGCGACGCTACGGCGATTTGGGTCCGTGTACTCCGTGTTCTAAAGATGTATTGGAGAAGTGTAAGAAGGGTAAGCTATTTCTGGTCGTGGGAGCCGAGAGAGAGAGAAACCCGTCGTGCAAACGGCTCTTAGCCACTTCGCCACGCCGTGAGTAGTCCTCGCTTTCGCCGCGTCTCTTCGCCGATACACACTTTTCATGCGGGGGGCGCATCTCGCGGAAAGTCGAACGATGTGAGTGTGCAGTGTGCGGTGCAGTGTGAGGGTGAGAGAGAAAGAACGTTCAGTCGGCGAGGGAACGCTCCTCGGAGGGACGACGACGACGACGACGGTGGAGCGGAGTCAAGCGGAGAACGAACGGCAGCCGGCCGTCCTCGATCGAGCTGAGAATGACATCGCGACTTCGACTACGGTTCAGGAACGAGTGTTCGCGCGGTGGCTACTTCTACGGTTCCTAATTCCTCAAGAATTCGGGATAATTTGCAACTCGAGATAATTCTCGATCGAGAGAGAAAGAATTCCGTCGTCCGGGTCGAGAGCTTTCGTATCGCGACGGACGTGAAGTCGGAAGCGAATTTCCGTTCGAAATCTTCCTCCTTCTCCTCCTCCTCTCTGCGAGAATTGTTCTTTTCAAAACGGCACCCGTGAAAGTTGGCACACGAGGAAGATACACGAAGAAGAAGCGAGAGATCGAGAGATCAGTGCACTGCGTGTCCCTTCTTCGCGAGGGAGGGAGAGGAAGACCTCCCTCCGAGAAGCTATGGCCAGGGTCGCGCGAACGCCCGGTACGCCCGACGGATCGCTGAGAGACATCGAGCCTAACGGACGACGATAGCGCGGGCGGGGTGCATCGAAGTCGCGATCCTCCTCGTCACCGGGATGCCAAGTTTCTACTAGCTGTGGTTGTCCGCGTCACCGCCGCGACGTAACGCTTTCATTGACGGTGCGGGCAGTAAACAATTCGGACATTAATTCCCAAAGCGAGAGCGGCGAATAAATCGACCGATTCATTGTTCCGCGGCGGCGGAAGGAACGCCGGAGGGAGAGCAACTTTCAGAGGCTTTAGAACTCCGATGATCTCCCGACTCGGCGGCTCGTCGAGCTCCCACTGAGCCGTGGAATTCTCGGGCGCTCGAACGAGAGAGAAAGAGAGAGACCACCCGAAATACCCAAGCTTCAACAAACGGATCGCCTTCCAACGCGATCGATCATTCACCGCTCCGGTTTTCGAGAGGTCGCGAGGCGCCAGACGAAGATTCCTCCAGAATCTGGCCCCGGATGGTCATCATGATGGAAGGGAAGAGTTAGGTGATCCAAAGTGCTGGAAATTCACGGAGAAAATCCCGGCGCGCTCGAGCTTCGGCACAAAGAAGAAGAATAATCGATCGGAGCACTGGCGACCGATCCGTCGGCGCGGCATGACAATGTCCTTCTGCAGGATCACAGGTAGGAGCCGGGGCCTGCCGAAGCCGAACTACTTCCCGCTGCTGCCGCCGATCAGTCCGGCGGACGCTAAGCGCTTCTGCCGCATCACTGGCAAGTCTTACGGCCTGCCGACCCATCACTACATTCCGGTGTTGTTGGGCGTGCACGCACGCGACAAGTCTAAATGCAGGATCACGAACGCCTCCGGCCTCGGGCCGCATCACTACACCGCCGGTCTGATCGTCGGCGAGAAGAAGAGGCACGTGGTGCTCAAGGACTACCGTTACATCTTCCCGGTGCTGGAGGGCGAGGGCGAGCAGCAGCGGGCGTTGCGCGAGCTCCTCGACGCGAAGCAGACCGACGAGGAGCGCAGCAAGTTCGTGTACACGGTGGAGGAGCGCAGATGCAGCCTGGTGTTCCCGGCGAGGCTCGAGGCCGCCGTCAGGGACGGCGACGTCAGGGACGTGATGCTGTCGCGCGACTGCGACACCGTGCTGCTCAGGCTGAAGCAGGGCAAGAACGTGTCGGTGGACTTCAGGAGTCTCGAGGATTTCGAGAACCTCTACGACGGCCTGGGGCCGCGCGAGGAGGTGCTGAAGGAGCGGGAGAGGCTGGAGGCTGAAGCAAGGAGGAGAAAGCGGAGGAAGCAGACCGCTTCGCTGAATTACGCGAAGCGGATCTTCGAGGAGAAGGAGCGCGTGGCCGACGAGGAGGAGCTACGTCTGGCGAAGCAGCTCAAACTGAGGAGCGTTAAAGAGGAAACGAAGGAAGAAGCCACGGAGGATTGGAAGCACGTGGACGCGGAGCAGGCGAGATTGAGATCCTCCGATATCGCGAACATGTCGCTCAAGGAGGAAGCCGTCGTCTCCAGCGTGCTGGCGGACTGGAATTCGTTCCAGCCCAACGGGAACGTTCCGCCGGGGGTGCCGGTGATCGATAGGATGCCGGTCCCGGTGAGAGTCGTGCCGCAGGAAATCCACCAGGAGTCCACGGTTCTTTGCGGCTCCGTGTGCGAGTCCGTCGGCAGCTTCGAGGCGATTGCGATCGCGAAGCCGCTGACGCCTCTGATCGCGCAACCGGACGTGACGCTGCAGACCGTTCTTCGTGATATCCCCGCGGACGAGCTGCGGGACACCGCGGACGTGAGCGAGAAACTGCTGCGAGCCGGGGCGGTCGAGCGTCTCCCGCGAATGGAGGAGGTTCCCGAGCTGGTGAAGAACCTGCCGTCGGCCGGGAGGAAGACCACCCTGCACAACGTCAAGGGTCTCAAGCTGGACATCAAGTCGGCGGAGAGATTCGTCGCGGGCCAGACGGTGCAGACGCCGTCGGGAGCGATCTTCGTGCCCGGACAGACTCTGCGGACGCCTCAAGGACCCACCTTCGTGCCGGGGCTCACCCTCAACACTCCGGACGGCGGGCCTCTGCTGGTACCCGGACAGATCTTGAGCGAGGCGGACGGCGCGAAGACGCCGGTCTTCGTCGCCGGGCAGACCGTCACGACGGAGCTGGGCGAGCGCTTCGTCCAAGGTCAGACGTTCCGCGGCAAGTTCGTCGAGGGTCAGACCGTGTTGACCGAGGAAGGGCCGAGATTCGTGGCTGGCCGGGTAACGGCGAGCGGGACCTTCGTCGCCGGTCAGACCGTAGCTACTCCGGATGGGCCGCGCTTCATGGCTGGCCAGACTGTCGCGGATTACCGCGGCGAGCAAGTCTTCGCGCCGGGGCAGAACGTGCGGACGGAGGACGGCAGGTACGAGTTCGTGCCCGGCCAGTGCGTCGAGTCGCCGAGCGGCGAGCCCAGGTTCGTTCCCGGACGGACCGTCGCGACCGCCGAGGGAGGTCTGCGGTTCGTCCCGGGTCAATACGTGAGCACGACATCCGGCGATAAACACTTCGTCGCCGGAGTCACCGTGGAGACCGAGGACACCGCGACCTTCGTGCCGGGGATGACGCTGGATACGCCGAAGGGCCCGAAATTCGTGGAAGGCCAAGTGCTGAAGACCCCGGAGGGCGTACTCTTCTGCCCGGGCCGCACCGTCGTCACCGAGAAGGGCTTCGAGTTCGTCGCCGCGAGCAAACCCGATGACGCGCTCTATCGAGACGCCGGCCCGGCCGGAATCGCCGTGGACCCGAAGTCTGCGAGCGCGATGTCGGCCTGCCTGCAGCAGCGGGAGGTCTACGGCCACATGGTGCAGACCGAGAAGGGCATCGAGTTCTTCCCGGAGAGCGTGGAGAACCTACCGGAGGGCAGGAGGATCGTGCCCGGCCAATTGGTCAGCGGCGACCAGGATGGCCCGCGCTTCGTGCCCGGTGTGATGACCGAGGACGGCTTCCTGCCGGGTCAGATAGTCACGACGGAGAAGGGGGAGGAGTTCGTGCCCGGCCAGGTGATCGACACCAGCGGTGGGCCGAAGTTCGTGCCCGGTCAGATCGTAGAGACCAGGTCGGGCAGCAAGTTTGTGCCGGGTCAGACGATCGACACGGCCGACGGGCCGCGCTTCGTCCCGGGCCAGATCGTCGAGACGAAAGTAGGCCCGACGTTCATCCCGGGTCAGGTGATCTACACGGAGGAGGAGGGCTCCAGGTTCGTGCCCGGCCAGGTGGTGGATACCCCGGACGGGCCCAGGTTCGTGCCCGGACGCGTGGTGGAGGCTGGCGAGATGGGTGTGACCTTCGTGCCCGGTCAGATCGTTCAGACCGAGGAGGGGCCCTGCTTCGTTGCGCCCGACCTCATCGACACGCCCGAGGGCGAACTCGAGTTCTCCGTGCAGGGCTTCGAGGTCACGCCCGAGGAACTGCGACTGCTGCGGCCGCAGCACCTGCACTACAACCCCCGCTTTCGTCATCGCGCCGAGACCAGCGTGGACGCCAAGATGTTGCGTGAGCTGTCGGAGGCGGGATTATCCGTCGGCCGGAAAGTCGCCTCGAGTCTGCCGGCGGTGGACGTGGACGTGGACCCGAAGGCGGCGGCCTTGGAGCAGGCCCTCGTTGTGGCTCGGTCGAGGCTCGGTCTGCACGGCGGCACCGCCGTGAAGATGGCCCAAGTCGTGTCCGTGGTTGCGCAACTGGCGAGGAATATAGTCATGCGGCAGCAGCAACAGGATCGTCTGGACACGTCGAAGCTGACTAACGGTATCCAGACGACCGTTGCGGGGAAGGAGAACCGCGCGAACGACGACGACGATGACGAGTCTCTTCGGGGCGCGATCAAAGCGGCGATCGTAGCCGCCGTCCTAACGATGTCAGCGAGCGAGCGGACGACGTTGGAAAACGAGTCGCAGGATCTCGTTCACTCCTCCATCAGCGAGTCTTTCGACACGCTGCTGCGTCAGGACGCAGGTCGCGAGGTCGTTGACCGGACCGTCGACGAGATCCTGAGGATCCTGCTGAGCCCGCAGAACCGCAGCTCCCTCTGTCAAAGCGCGCTCTCCGAGTTGCTGGACACGAAGAACAGCAAAGTGGACATACTGAGGTCCACGGTGATCGGTCAGTCCTTGCAGAAGGACGCCGTTCTCGACAGGCTGTCGATGGTGCTCGAGAACGGCACCGATCTGATCGGCCCGGCCTTCCGCACTGTCTCGAGAAACGACCCCGAGCTGGTATCGCTCGTCCTGGAGAACGTGTCGCGACACGTGGCGGACGTGGCGACCGAGAAGGAGGCCGCGGAGACGGTGTACAGGGCGATCGTCCAGGCGATCCGCGAATCCAGCGAGATTCGTGTGAAGGAGCTGCTGAGTGCCGAAGGGCAGGACGTGCGAGAGATGCTTCTGCAAGCCGTGGGCTTGGCCAGAGCTTTAGGCATGTCCGGGACGGCGAGCAGCCTGCTGGCTGTGATCAGCGATGAGAGATCCACCCAGGCACTGGCCAGCGACCGGGTGACCATGGACGTGCTGAAGAGGCTGACGATCATGCGGAAACTGGCCGAGGAACGGCCGCTCTTCGTGAACGCGCTCGGCCAGTTGTGCAGCGACCCGGAATTAGCCAGGACCGATCCCCAGTTGCGAATCCTCGTGAGGGAGAGCGCGGCGCTTATGATAGTGCCCGAAGAGACGCCTCTGTTGTCCTCGGTAGACGTGCCGACGGCGTTGCTGCACGCCGACAACAGCCTGGCGATGGAGGAATTCCTGCTGAGGAGGAATCACAAGCCCGCGGCGATCTTTATGATCCTCAAGCAGGGCCTGCAGGCGGTCGTGCCCAGGGAAGCCTCCAGGTCGGTGTTGACCGGCCAGGTCGCGTACACTGTCCTCGACGAGGACGGTATACATCACTTCGAGCCACTGCACGTGTTCTCGGCGCTGAGACTCAATCGGCCGGCCGCCCATCGCTTCTCCATGTATTGCTGCCCGGTGGCGAAGGAGGTGGACATTGACGGCGAGCTGATGTCCGCCACCTTCACCGGCACGACCTCGATCACCAGCAGTCTGGACGATTCCCCCAACGGGAGCTCGAACAAGCGGGAGAACGGCAACGGCGCGACCTTGTCCGAACGGTCGGCCGTTTGCTCCGCTAGTAGAGAGAACACGCCGAGCCTGAAGAGATCAAACGTCATCCGGCAAGGTGGAGGCCTCGAGCGGGTAAAGTACACAGAAAGATGCGCTAGATTCGAGTAAATCATTATTCCAATACGTCCATTTTCACTTGGATTGAGTAAATTTTACTTGGATCAAATAGGTAATATTGTACGAGGGTGGTTCAGATATAAACGAGCCTTTTGCAAAAAAACCATATATTTTTCAAAATCAATTCTAATTTACATTTTTCTTATTTTTCTACATAGTCCTCCATCTTATCTATACACTTCCTCCAACGGTCTGGTAATTTTTTAATCCCGGTATCATAAAAAGTTCGCGGACGTGTATCAAACCAATTGCACACGAACTGTTGCACCTCCTCGTTCGTTGTGAAGCGCTGTCCACCAAGGGCTTCCTTGAGTGGCCCAAACATATGGGCCACTCGCATGCGTGGATGTTCTAGAACAGCCCAGTGCTTATCGGCCAATTTTTGTTTTGTTACTGCTGCGGCGTGGGGTCTGGCGTTGTCATGGAGAAGCAACACACTTCGAATGCCGCGCCTTTTTGACCGATAGGCAGCTCGAACTGAAGTTCCTGAAAGATTTCAAGAACAGTTAAGTGCCGATCGTCTTCGATGAGTTCTCGAACAGCCTCGGTGTTCTGCGCTGTGATGCGGGGACGGCGGCAATGTTTTCAACACGCTCCCGTCCTTTCTTAAATTCGTTACACCGCTGCTTCACCCGAGCCCATGAAAGGGTTCTTTCCCCGAACTGTAGGAGTAAATGACGCCGAATTTCAGCAACATTTACATTTCCGTTGCCGAGAAACTTAATAATAATAACACGTTGTGCAAGTGCGGGATGTACCTCTTTCTCGCTCATTGTGATTGCTGCTGAGAGTAAGAAGCACGCGGCGCGCCAACGTTATTACTGCCTTCCACATGACCACCACCCTTCACTGTCCTAAACGTTGCAGATCCCTCACGCCGCCGACGGGCGCGCAATTTAAAAAGGCTCGTTTATATTTGATCCACCCTCGTATTTGGATAATTTATCTAGTAAATATTATTTGATTCGAGTAAAAATATTTGCTAAGGAATATCGGTGTAATTATTTACTTAAATCTAGCATTTTTATTCCGTGTATTAGGAGGATCGAGAGGGACATATTAACGGTCACAGAACGTTGATATTCACGCGTCTCTTGGCGCTTCGCATAAACCGATTAATTCGAGTTGATAATAAATTGGAAACTAGTGGTCTCTTTTATAAAATAGATTAAGATGAGATACGTACAAATGTGTATTGTGGGAGAGAAGTGTAATATTATGATGTTAATTATATTAAATAATAGAAAAAATACGTAAGACTCTAAGGCTCGTATTAATAGTTATTACACACAAAATGTCGATAATTATTACAGCATTATAGTGCGACGTGCCACAGTGGAGGCGCGACACGATACGAACTCGCGATTTTGAACAATTTCAGTCTCAGTCGATACGACCTGATTCCATTTTGCAATTCCCGACTATACCGAAATAAGTGCAATTTCGTTTCACTTGAGGGTATGCCAAGTAAAAAAGAGGTCGAGAATAGCTTTCGACACTCGGCCACACACACATACACAGATTATTCTATTGACGCTGTTTTTGTTACAGGGATCCTCGGAAAATTACGTCGTCGTGAAGGACTACGTCGCGGACACCGATGGATTTACCGTGAGCGTCGGCGACATCGTCGAGGCCGTCGAACATGACGGCTCTACGAAGTAAGCCAATTTTTCATTTGCGACCGCGCGAATAACCTGCGAAAGAGAGAAAGAGAGAGAGAGAGAGAGAGAGAGAGGTGCGCCTTGATCTCGCGCATTGTCATCGCGCCGTCTTCGCATCGCGCTCGGCATAACACGTGGGTGGAAGCTGTTTCGTGGGCGGACAAAATCCACGTGGCCGAAAATAATCCGCGCAAGTCGGTCCGCGCGCGCCGCAGCGTAGCGCGACTCCCCGCGATAATGATAAAGTCCTCCGGCTGTTTATCACCGATCACTCGACGGTTCTTGTATGTGAAGTTTTCCCGCTTCTCGCAGACGCGGAAGCAACGCGAGAGCCCTCTGAGGCAGATTGATCGGACGTGCGCATTTATGGCAAACAGGTGCGTCCCGAAGGAGCGCCATTAACCGAGCCGATCTCGCGAGAAAGCCTGAAGGCAGCTACTGTTTACGCATGATAAACCGGCATTTCGCGCCACCGTTAACCTTCTGAGTGCTAGGGACTCTTATACACACGCGCGATATCCGGCAAGTGTCATCGGTGCGGACTATGGCGACTCATACGCGCGTCTGACGAATTTCTTCGGCTCGCGCGGTTTTTACAACAAATTTTCAAAAGATCTCTTGAAGACGTCCGAAAGGACAGGATATCGCTTTAGATTTATGTACTCTAAAAGAAGATATCTCTCTCTCTCTCTAACGGTAAATCGGATCGTAAGCAGAATTAAATAATTCGATTGATTGAAATCTCAGTTATACTCAGTCTGAATCCTAGTTACATTTCCATCTTCTTCTGGAGTACATCAACTTAAAGCAATATCATGATTGGCTCTTCAGCCGAAATTTAACGTCTTTCACTTACGGTTAGGCCAATTCGAAAGCCCTAAACGTCCGTCGCAACGTCCGTAAGGGTCACCACGGGGGAGAATCGAGGTCGATTTACCGCGGATCGCCGGATATCAAAACTATAAAGCGAAGGATCGTTGCCCCGCGAGCGCGAGTCACCACACTCCGCCGCACCCGCTATTTTCGGCGGCGCACGGTGGTTTCATCGGCATTCGGCGTGTCGCGTCGTCGCGTATCGCGCGGAATTTGTGAATATCTTGACAGACGGAAAATTCATGGCTGATTTATACGCCCATAAAGATCTGGCGGCACGCGTGCGATGGCGATATCGCATTATGTAAGAAAGTTGGCGATCGTAAGCTCTCGCTTTCATTCTCTCTCTTTCTCTCTCCTGCTTGTGGGGAAATTGCTTGAGGGCAAATTATCCCAAAGTGCTTAATAAATTACGCTTTCTCTCTCTCTCTCTCTCTCTCTTCTTTCTCTTTCTTTTTGAACGTGCGAAACGGCAGGGATTAGGGGACGAGGTGAAAACAGCGCGCGAGAAAGCTGCGCGCGAAAACGCTCGGACGCGCTTAACCACGCTGCTATACGTCATAAAATCAGCGGAGCAAATGGCTATGACTGCGAAATTAACAAGCATGTTGCCAAACGGTTTACAATCTTCATAATGGCGCGCTCACGCTACCTCGGGACGCCCGCCCGAAATGCCAAGTTCATTTTGAGCCTTGAGCTTGAGCGACAAAGTTGGCATGCGATAAAGAATAACGGGAGGTTTTGTTTTTAACACGAATTAATGAAAATAACCACCACGAATTTTGGACGAAGATACATAATACGTTTATTAACAAGACGGACCATACAATGTTAAGACGTCGGCGGGAGCCGAGACACGACTCTCTACATCGGCATGCTTGACGTTGTTGTAGGAGAGCGAGGATGGATCCCGATCTGGAGGTCGAGGTCGGCGACATCCTGGACAATTCGGCCGCCAAGCACAAACTCGCGATTCGGCCACGTCGTAATTACACGGACCCGCGTGCTCGGGGCGACTCTTCGGGCCTGCAGAGGTAGGGAACTCTCGTCGGCGTATCGCGAGTCGTTCACTTTTTAACCTTAACTTTCCCGCCCGCCCGTGGAAATTGTTCGACCGGGCCGAAATTACCGCGAGCGATCGCAACGTCGTCCGTTTGCTAATTTTACCACCTAGAAAGCGCAAATTAGCTCTTTGACGTACAATATTTCATCCCGCGCTTTCGTAACAAAGTCCGTAACCGTCCCGAAATAGAATAATGAAGGCTGCGACATTAAGTTCTGAAGAGCTCACGAGGAGGAACACGTCATCGTCGACTTCCTGTCGACTTCGTCGTCGTCGTGCGCGTCTATACGACATCGACGAACGTCATCGTTGTTGGAACGTTAGCAGTTTTCTCCGGCCTTGATCATACGGACGATGGCGAACGCTCCACGTTGACGAAGGCGCCGGTCGTCTTCGAGGTGACGCGCGCGTCGCGAAGCAACGTCTTTCAGACGACTTTCTAACATATTGAACACATGTCATTCATAAATGAATGATTCTGATAGATCGATCGGTGTATAAACGATAAAGAAATATATATTTTAGAAAGTTTAACGTCAAAATAATTTATATAGAATGATATCTAATATCTACAAAATAATTCAACACACCGAAGTGAAGAAATGATGAAGAAAAAAGTCGCAAGGGAAACAATTCAAAGGAACAGCAAATTTTTATGTTATGTCATAGCAAATAAATAATATAATACAGAATGTTTCTTAGATACCGCCTGATATTTTAATAGTTAATTTTTATATCATTTTATGAATAAATGAATATATGTTCATATATGTGAATTTTTTTCATAAAAAAGAAATCAACTCCTAAAATATTAAGCAGTATTTGTGTGCACTCTTGTGTGCAACTTGGCATAATTATAATTATTATCGATAAATAATCGATATTTTGCGAGATGGACAATTATAACTTGATGAAAATTGCGATACTTGAAGCGACTTGTGTCTCGTGGTGACAACATCCGCCGAGCGGATCTGCCAAATTACTGCGTGAGCGATTAATGTCCAGTTGTACCGTCAGTAGTGCACACGTTCCGGACATTCCGATAATTATGAATCGTAATCGCTGGTCACCACGAGACGGAAAAGAAACGGCCGATGGGGAAGCCAGCAGACGGACGTCTGATTCATCGCTCCCGAAAGGCATCATCTAAATTTGCGTGCGAAGCACACACAGTGAAACGAGTCATGCGAGCCGCGCTGCATTAACGACGAACTAACAAACGCGGAGTGGCCGTAACGTATGACGAGGACGTTTTCCAGATTTAACGCATAGTTCGTCGAAGACTACGGCATGAGACCACACGGAATCGCATACAGCTTTGGCCAAAAGCGCCGTCCGCGAGGAATTCGCGCACGAGGAGAAAAATTCTGCTACAACAGCAAGTTGTTTTGTTAATACAGTGGCAGCAAAAGAAATTTGTTTGGATAGCAGAGAAGTTTGTTAAGAGTTATTAATCGCTCTTTGCTGGATATATGGATATACAGTAAAATAATTTGATTTTGCTAACTAAATTTTATTGCTATCGCAACTACGTCGAAATATGAATATCTGGACGGAAAATTCTACGAGGGAGGAGGAAAGGGATATATCAGTGATTAACAAGGGGTATCAGAAAAGAAAAAGCGCTTCGGGTAATCCCACATCACAGCATCTTCGGATATATTCGGATATTCATGCCAACTCGCGTTGGACCTTGGGCTATTAATCTTCAATAATTTCGAAGCTTCGGAAGGACTCAAAGCTTCGAAGGAACTTTCGAATTTTAGTAAGCTGAAGCCTCGAAGTTACGTCTTCAAAGGCCACAATCCTCGCACTTCGACGGCATGTGTTTGCAGCGAACGCGTTTCCGCGTTTCGCGCGCATTGTGCTCAGACAAGGCTGAGATGCTGAATCCGCGATTACGCTGTCAGTCTCATTGAGCGCAAATTTGGACTTGCGCGGATCCGGAATAAATTCAGCACCGCTGAATTACGATGACGCTAATGAGATTAAGCATTTATAAACGTCCGGGGCGATAATATCTCCGCGCGTATCTCCGCGTGATTGGCGACCGGCCAGGCTGCCCGTAAAACCGATAGCGCGTGAATTATTGTTGAAAAGAATGTCGTCTCAGTGTCGAGGAAACGTCTTATTAACGAGGAGCTGAATTCATAATCGGCAGCTTGGAAGCGGTCGTGTCTCGTTAATGTGAGTCGATGAGAATCCGGCGAGGTGTCCTTCGACTTTTGTTATTCAGAAGCGAATTTCGATTGCCAATTTTGATCTTCGTAATCGGATCGTAGCTCACCGACGAGATAAGAATAAAGACCGTCAGCCGTACGGGTGATACAGCGTTTAATTATTTAACAACTTGGTATCAGTAAATTTTGTGTCAAATCAGCGTAGATGATAACTACAGAAATATAGTTTTATGAAAATGTTTGATATTTATCAGTTTTAGTTTAAGATTCCAGACACAAGATAGTCATTATGCATCACTTGAGACAAAACTTGAAACATTATCATAAACCGATATCAGCTATGTTATGCTGAGGCTTAAAAAAATTTACCAGGACTAAACGGTCTTTAACGGCGCTTCATCAATGTGGGGTCGATATACGCGCAAAAATAGACTGGATCTTCGCAAATCGTAGAAAACAACGGCAAGCACAAGTTCTTGGCGCGTTTATAATCGCGGAAGAAACATCGTTGGGTCGATTATGTTTGCATTTCGGTATTTTTAGAGTAATGCCCGAATTTACGAGGTTCTTGTCTCTCCAATGATACAACTTGTATCTGCGAAAATGTAAACGTTGCGTGAAGGTATGAGGAGGACGTTTCGGAGGATGAAGCTCGTCGTGTGCAGCAATTCGAACACATCGCCAGCGGATTTTGCGTTCTGTGAATGGACGATGACTTCGATGACAAGATGGCACGCAGCCTTAGTCATTTCGAATGAATATAACCGTGCGACTCCCACGCACTCGAATGTCTATCTATATCACCCCTTTCGATCGTATTCGATCGGATTTGATTTCGCGGCTGGCCGAATCCAACTCGGCGTATAGCGACGAACGTGTCAAAACTCTCTCGCTAAATCTAATAATTAAACTCTCACATAATATATGAACATTTGATCTCTTGATTTTCTCTCTCTCTTTCTTTGGCAAGGTGATTCTCGGTAGAGAAGAAAGGTTCAGTGGAAATGTAGATTTGTAAAATCTCTTTATAATATTTGTACAATTTTAGATAAAAATTTGTAATCTTACGCAATTTTAATTTATAATAAAATGCAAATTTCTATATCTAACGATAGTTATTATTTTATAGGGTATACGTCCGTACATCCGACGGAAGGCAGGGATGGTTGCCCGTGTCGATTTTAATGCAAACGTCACTCAGTGAGGAAAGTTCAGCTGTGCCTCACCGGCCGGAGGATTCTCATTATCGACGAGAGTACGTATCTATTTAGTTTGAAATCTCCCGAATGAATCATTTTGAAGCACAGTTATAGTAACTAGAATTAATCTTGCTAAAGAATACAGTAAACTTTTTTAATAATAAATTTCAGTCCTTAAAAAAACGGCATATAGAAAATGGAAAGATAATAAATGAAAGCAAAATGTCGATACGTTTCTCGGTTACAAAATTCTACGGTGATTTTTACGATAAAATTCTCTCCGTGCAATTATACAGGGTGTCTCAAGACTAACATATACGTTAATTGTGGGACACTCTGTTCTATTTATATATTACATACTCTGTTCTCTCTGTATACTCTGTCCTATTTTATATATTATATGTGTGTATTAGAAGAAATTCTGCTTCTACAGTTCTTTTACTTTATACTAATTTGTTTTATATTTGCAGGGCGGTCGTGAAAGAACTAATCGAGACGGAGGAAGAATTCGGCAGGGATCTTCAGCTGGTGGTCGAACGTTACCTGAAGCCCCTCGATAACCCGGGCGTCTCGCGAGCCGTGCGAGACAACAAAGAAATTATTTTCACTAATCTGAAACAAATAGCTGACTTTCACAACACGTATGTATTACGGCGACGTCCACCGGTAGCGAAACGTGAAAGGCGCACTGCGACACTGTCAGACGAGCATTCATTGATACATTTCACAGTCGGTACAAAGTCGGACATTTTACACACTCTTTCACTCGCTGCTTTCAATCGATGATCTTTCGATCTTGCGGAAATTCAAGTCCCCGGAACGCGCGTCCCTTTAATTCAGACGCTGACTTTGTTGAACAATAGTGATTTCATCTTTTCGCTGTATATCACACTTGCGTGATTATTATTCATGCAAATATCACTTACGTTAAATTTAATCTTAACAAATTGAGATTTAGATTCTTTTTCGTAATTCGTTAGGTATTAAAATTGCTTTGGTAAATTTGATCAGTTCTCTCTACTCGGTAAAGAAATTGTATCGCACATACGTCGACGTATATCACACATAATATTCGCAAACAATTCGCCCCGCACACACACACACGCACACACATACGATTCTCTCGCTTGTAGCGGAGTACGATGTGCAAGATGTAAGTTCAATGCCGAAAGACATTTTGTGTGGTGGTGTGCTTCTTTGTACATGTGCCCCATGAAATTAATATCGATTAATTGATATCTAAACCATCGCTTGTGTCTAGAAAGACTTGACATTACAACGCCCTCACATAATAATATTAGACACGAATAATGTTTCACAAACGTAACAAATCCAATCTAGCTAGAAAATGTTGGGGTAAAGCTTGAAGCAAACGTTACCTTAACGGTCGCTGTACGAAAATTCTGTGTTCCATTGTATTCACAATATATCATATTGTCGATCTACCAAGTAGAAAGAGTAAAGCAGAGAATTGTAGTCGTAATTGTGTTCTGACTATTATTACTAACTCGACCGAACTCTTCGAACGTCGTCGGAGCTCGTCGTGATATTCTTGCTGTTTCATTCATTTCGAAATTATTAAACCAGATTTTAATTTCTTCGTCGTAAGACGTCCCCGTCCCCGTGTATAATACAGTGAATAATATCGATAACCGAAGTGCCAGTGCCCCTGGTATCTATGACCTCTTGCAACTTACCGTATCGCACTCTCTGAAAGATGACGCAAACGTCCTCCGTTAGCATGTTAGGCGTGGTGTGATTTTGGCATGATAATTAATTCCGGCCTTACTTAGATCGTTCGGCAGGGTGTTGATCGAGGGTGTCAAGTACTATGCGGATCAGCCACGTATGCTCGGCAAAACTTTCTTGAGACTGGTAAGCGCTCATCGCCATTACTTTCTATTACTGAAGTGTAATGACGTTAGTGAATTAGAGTAATGTTAAGCAAGGCGAATTCATTCGCCTCTCGTTGTTGCAAGTAATGATACAGTAATGTTATGTTGCAGGCATCGATGGAAATTTCGCACCGCTTTGGCCGCACGTGTGCGATCGCTCATTCAAAATTTAGAAAAGCAATGCCAATCTGTTGCAACGAAAAGACGATTTATTCACAGTGACACAAACAAGTGATTGATCAGACGTGTGCTATCCGACTGTGGCTTTATCAAATGTGTACTTTCATTCAAAGACCTGGTCAAAAATGGCAAGACACGAGAGCTGTCTGTGAGATGTAAGGTTCAACGATGCATCTCCATTTTCAAAATTTCAATTTTTCAAAAAAAAAAGATAATAAAACGGTGCGAGGTATTCTTCGATGTTTGTTATATCTGTGAAGATATACGTAATGCGAAGAATGATCGTCTTCGCGGATAAATGTCCCGCTTTGTCGAGGAAGAAATGTAATGTTGTAACAGCTGACGATCGGGATGGAATTATTAATCGCATTAAAACGTCATTCTATTCCAGGAAAGAGATTTTGACAAGCACGTGGCGTACTGCAGGGACGAGCCCGCCGCTCAGGAATTTCTCCAGACGAATGATGAAGTACGCGAATACTTCGAGGTAAGAATTCAATTTCGATTGATTAGTGAGATTTTAAAGGACTCAGGGGGCGAAAATCAATTTTCAACCGAGTAACATCTGTATCGTGAGTTTAAAGCATGCGACGGGTTAGGGTTAACGATGTAAATATCCAGACTGTGTTATGGTACGAACTAATATCTCGTCTTTCTAAAAATACGCGAAGATACGATCGCTCGCAAACAGAAGCAAAATCAAATAGTTACGTTGTGCCAACCGTGTGTAAACGTAAATATACTCAAATAATTTCGTGTGGAACGCGTTTAATATTATATGATTGCTAATTATAATTATCCAAGCTGACGATAAAATTAACATAAAAATGTTTAGTAAAATTAATGTAAGAATATAAAATTAATATAAAAGTCACATTAAATATATTAAAGAAAAGTAAATATTCGTTATATATAAAATAAATCTGCAAAGAAATATCGTTCCACAATAAGAATATTCTAATCTACCACAATAAGTAGTCTACCGCAATAACAATATTAATTAATATTATGTTTTTCAAAAATTAAATTTTTTCCGAATTGCTCAATTGATTTTAGATTGTCCAAATTGGTGATTGGTTGCTTTAAATGAGCGGGTATTTGAATTATATTTCGACGAGTACCGATTAATTTGTAATTCGATGCGACGTACGCATCGCAAACGTCCAGCGCGATTCCATGTTCGATCGCCACGGCGCTATGGATTGGAGAAAATGATGTAATTATATAACGGGCGGGGATACGCGGGCGTCTGTCCAGCCCTTAAAATAGCTGAGTTTATTCTTAACGGACGGAACATCTTTCGTTCTCTCTTACCTACGACCGATAGTATCGAGATGCATGCTATTGGAGAGCATTCTCCTGAACATTCGTAATATATCCGTTTGATATCTCGAGCTTCCTCTTCGAGAAGTGATCTTCGATCAAGGACCATGCGAGAACGCAGTCTCAAGAAGATTCAAAGTCGCAACGTAACGCGAGAACCGCTTCTCTCGACCGCCTCGTCTTTACAATCATCTTCTGCATTTAATCCGTTTGCATCAGAAGCGGATATATCCGTTCATATATCAGCGCATTCCTCAAGTCGCGATTCCTCAGCGAAGATGAGTCGAATTTCAACAATCCCGTATCCCGGATTCGTTTTATTTCATTTGAAGTTGATCTAAAGAAACGAAAGAAAAGTATTCAGTGAAATATGGACATATTTTTTAAATCTCCTGATGATGCAACTAAGTTAACGCGAAACAAGTATATTGAACGATCCCAGACAGCTTGGAAGCTTGTGCTGTCTGGGATGCACGGTTAGGAAGGAAGGTTCCACCAGAATAAATCATGTTGTTTGATAGAAAAGAAAGCAAAGGAACTAATATTTGGTTTTCAATAAAAGAAAATTGTTCACATTGTATATTAAGCATTGTTCCACAGAAACATGGAAACCTTTTAATATTTTCTACTATAATATAAAACGAGAAAAATCGTATTAAACCCAAAGGAATCTCTTTCTCCGTGCATACGGACTTCCGCGCGCACTCTTTCATCGCGGGTCGACATTGCGCGACATTGTCGTCGCAGAGTCAGGAAGAAGAAGGACCCTCCGAAGAGAAGCCGCGGAAAAGGCGAGCTCGGGGGCGAAATCGTAGGCCCGTCGGATCTGCGTGTTGTTTTCGCGCGGCCGTGTGGTCAGTCCACGCGAATAATCCGTCCGGCGTCGTCTAAGTATAGCCGTGGCCGTATTGGTCTTCCGAGTGTCTTTCTCTCTCTCTCTGGCGCGGCGACGGTGGCGGTAGCGCGCCCCCGGAGATTCATCCGGGCTTCAGTGCCGCGAATCTGCTGACCATCGCGCATACCGCGTGTGTATGTGTGTGTGAGAGAATCCATCCGCGACACGATCGAGGGTGCCGTGAAGTCCTCCTCCAGTTGTAGCGAGCGAGCGGCCTCTGCGCGAGACACCCTCTGCGACGACGATTACGAAGAACGTTTACGACTAAGAGGAACACGAGCAGGCGACTCCGTCGACCGGGTTGTTCCCGAGTCGCAGCCAAGGTGCGCGATTGCCGACGATGAGGAAGAGCCGATTCCCCGAGTTCTTCCTCAGGAAACCGTCCTTCTTCGCGAGAGCCGTCACTCGCGCGTCATCGAGCATCGTCCGCGAGGATCCCGCGAGGCAGCCGCTCGGGGGGTGACACACCGCATGCAAAATCCAGTCACACGTCCAAAAATACACGTGTTCACACGCATGAGATCCGACGCCGGTGTCGAATTACGCGTTCGTCGGCGAACATCCGTACCGTTGTCGAAGCGTTTCTCGATTTGTCAGCGCGAGAAAACGCGCCGTCCGCTTTCCTAGCGTTTCCCTCGGTGAGCGAGTCGATCTCTCCGACCACTTTTGGAAAAAAAGTCGCGGCTTCAGGGTGCATATATGGAATATTTCCGCCGCGGCGTGTTGGTAGTTACGACTCGCGCCAGGTTGAATTTATCGTCGCGCAGAAGGGTTGTAAATCGAGGTGTCGCGGGTTTAGATCAAGGAATAATGAGGGGAGAACATTCAAATCGCAAGATCTCCTCCCGTGCGATTCGCTAAAATTGCCGGATCTTGCAGTTGGAAAAGTCCCCGTCACAAAATTTGCACCCTTTCCCGTTGCGTATCTCATATCCTTGAAATATAATTTTCATAATCTTCGACGTACGCGCGATCAGGGGTTCTCCGTTGAATTAGGGAGAACTAAGGAGAAAGAAAAAAGAATGAGAAAGAATTGCCAATTAAAATAATCATCAGTGACAATGTTCCCGACGAGTGGTTGACGAAAGTGGACATACTGATCACTCGCGCCATCATTTCGTTTCTTGCAGGAGTTGAGCCAGACTCTGGGCGACGACAAGAGCATATCGGAACATTTGAAGCTCCCGATACAACGTATAAACGACTACCAGCTCCTACTGAAGGTACGTCGGCCGACTTTTTATTCGCAGAAACGCAGGTAATCCCGGTAGATAGTAACCAACACTAACGTTACATCAGTGGTTGAGAGTTTCTAGTAGAAGGTTTCTACCGAAGCCTACAATCCAGTTCTGCTACGGAACTGGCCGAATATAGTGCTTTTATTGGAAATAGAGTAAAGAAGAGTATTAAAGAAAATTAGTCGTACTTCCACCGACTTAAATTTGATTCTACACCGCAAAGGTGAGAAATGGAACCGGATTGAAAGTTTCGGTGGAAACTGAACCAACGTTACAACAACGTTGAAACCGAAGAGACGACAGCCACCTTCGAAACAGCGCGCGCGAAAGCAGGTAGATTTAATACACACGTACACATATTTGACACCTTTTCTTTTTTTCGCCGAGAAAATTGCCAACGCAATTGGCGTATAGAGACGATCCCGGACAGCCGAGTACGCGGACATACAGCCTGACCTATATTTCCGCTCGAATTTTATTGCGCCAGACGGAAATAGCGTGCGGCGCTAAAGCGCTTTCCACTTCGCCTTGAAATCGTGTCTCCTCGACATAATTGCCACCCGTTCACTCGAAATACACATACGCGAGAGTTAACGAATCACCTGCATTGTTTATAAACCTCTCGGTGTATGTATGTACCAGAAAAACTCGAGATTTTTCGATTAACGTCCGTCTCCGGACTCTACGAAGTACACCAGATGGTCGAGATATTTATTTATTTACAAAGGAATACGATATCCGCCGTAATATTCCGACGCGAATGACGAGAGTGACTTTTTGCGAACGGTAGAGAATAGTAGACTTTTTTTACATTTTTTAATAGTAGACTTCAGTTCCGTAAATATAAAATATAAGTAGCATGTATGAAACCAAAGGATAACAAGAGGCAGCATTTCAATGTGTTTCCTCCGTAAGAACAAATTCTCCTATTAGATACGAAAGATTACAGCTTTTTTCATCTAAATTCTCTTCAATTATATCATATTTTTTAATAATGTAAGAATAAACTGTCAGAAGACTTTATTTTCCCAGGGAATATGGTATAAATTTTTCAACAGTGAACTTTGCGCTCACTAGTCCTAAAATACAAAAATACAGAACACGAAATACGAATATTTACGAAACGGAAGGATAACAAATTCAGCGTCGATATGTTCTTCAGTTACGAAATTCTGTAATAATATTTTCGGTATGAAATTTCCTTCGTAGGGAAAATAAATATACGGAAAGGGACGAAGTCAGATTTTGGAGAGATGGCATATTAAAAGTGTTTGGAAATTTAAACAGAGCTTACTCATCGTGACAAGCTCACCTAAGCCAAGTAGATTAATGTCATGATTATGTGGGCCGAATGCCCGCAGAAACGAGACAACAAGAAGGCAGCGGGACACTCGAGTCGTCAAAGTGCGAATGCAAAACATTCTCAAGTTGAACATTCTTGGCTTTACACATTATTTAACACACATTACCGCCGCAGCATACCGTCGTCGCTGCTGCGGTAACGCGCACAAGCACGTGTTCTAAAATAAGCGGGGTAAACATTAATGTTAGAGACTGAAGTCTGATACAATGCCATTAGCTAATAATAATTAGCTCATCAAGTAATAACTCCGTCGCCATCAACAAGTCCGCCAAGTTTAGAACCGACGATGTAACCGGACGAATATTTTGGCGATCTCAATCGATCTTCCCTCTATTTTTGATAAATATTATTTTTGAGCGATTCTTCCTGGTTAGATTTAACACGAAATCTGATACAATGCCTAATAAGACTAATTAGCAATTAGCTAATTATTAGTATTATCATGTCGTTATCAACAAGTCCGCTACTCTATTCGAAATTTTGACGCTATACGAGTATTACGACGCTAAGACAGCGAAAACGGAAGCTTAAGACATCATCAAGGTCAAAGTAGGGATTATATTACATTATTATTATTATTAGAATTGAAATAGATCTTATTTTTGTTATCTTAGCTCCTACTGTATTGTAGAATTAAAGGTTTAAGACGAAAATTTCGATTCGAGTATGCTTGCAACAGGTGCACACGCGAGCGAAAATAAGCGCCCACGTTTTTCCCACGGTGTGAAAAACACAATTCGCTACTTGTATCTCGCAATCGCGAGCTTTCCTGTACGCTTCCAGCGTGTCAAGTATTTTCGTGGCGAAGTCGATGTGCAATAAACCGCGTGACGGAAGGGATGGACGCGAGAAATTTGTGGAAGAGCGCAACGCGTTTCCCGATAGATGTGGACACCCGCTAGAAAAATGACGCTGCAGAATATTTCGGGTTTGCGTGTATAAACGCGTGTGTGTGGGCGCCGTTACGGATTTAGAGAGCTAAATGCGACTCGTCCGCACGGCAGATTATCTTTTGAACCACGATATGGTTGGAAAGAAAAATTTCGTGCAAACAAGACGGCGGATATATAAGCGCAAGGCGTTAAACGACGGGTAGTAAAAGCGCATCGAAGTGTGTGCTGCGATACAAGTTAATTCGGTCCACAAGGACGATCATGCTCGCGCGTGTGTTGCGCAAATCCTTATTTTTCACCGTAATCGTGGGCGTGCCGGGACGGCATCGTTGATCTGTCTCAGCGTAAACGTAAAAATCGAACGACGGAGGAGAACGAATTAATTGAAAAAAATGCGCTCACCGTTTTGCAGGAGCTGGTGAAGTACTCGACCCGATTAGGCGAAAATTGCGACGACCTTCAGAAGGCGCTCGAGTTGATGCTAGGAATCCCTCACAGGGCGACCGACAATAAGTTCATAAGTAATATCGAAGGATATAAAGGGAATATTCACAAACTCGGTAGATTGCTCACGCACGTAGGTATAATTGAACTGGTGTTGAGTAATTACAAAAATTGTCAAATTCTTGATTGTTCTTCTATCAGCGACAATAATTACAACACATCGATATGCACGACGGTTGCAATTGCAGAGCGTTCGATTGAATAACGATAGCATCCACGTTTTCAGGAATGGTATACAGTTATCGATAAGGAGGGAAGAAGCAAAGAGAGATACTTGTTCCTGTTTAAAGCGCGAATCCTCGTATGCAAAGTCAGGCGGATATCGGAGGACAGGTCCGTTTTCGTCCTAAAGGATATTATTCGAGTGAGTGACATACACGGTATCGATCGTGCATCATAACGTAATTCGATTGAGGAACAAACGCAGAACGAATCCTATCCGTTTCAGCTACCAGAAGTAGAAGTGAAGGATCACCTGGACGACATACGATCGTTCGAGCTGCACAATCCGGCTGTTCCGAATTACCCCATCACTTTGGTGGCTCACAAGGACCCCGTGAAGGGCTACTGGCTCAAGGAGATCCGCGAATACGCCAGCGACCTGGTCGCTCTCGCCGAGCACGCCGCGGACGACCTTCAGGTGACCGAGGATTCGGAAACTAAGGAGGAGCCGAAGAGCGACGAGAAGCCGGCGCCGGTGAAGGTCGAGCCACCGCCTCCAGCGAAGGAAGAGGTCGATCCGTCGAAGGTGCCGACCGGCAATCCGGCGGAAGAAGCGAAGACGAGCCCAGTCGGTTCGCCGAGAGCGGTAGATCCGACAAAGGAGCCCGCGAAATTCGCGGAGAAGAGGAAGGACCCGGTGGATAGCGCGTCCTCGGAAGCGAAGAAGACCAGGGTCGAGGAAGTGAAGAAAGCCAAGGTCGAGGAAGCGAAGAAGAGCAAGGTCGAGGAAGAGACGGCAGACATGTCCCGAAGATACTCCGCGAGTCGGTACAGCGCCTCGTCGAAGGTAGTGGAAGGTAAGAGCACCGGCAGCTCGATGGAATACTCGATGTCGCTTGTGGCAACTCGTTGAAGCTGGAGATGTAGGGATCGCATTCAGTGTATGCCGTAGCTCTGGCAGCTTGTCTCGCCGCACACGGAAAGAATATTATAGCTTCCTTTTTCATGCGAGTTCTCTTTGATTTTACCGCACGCTTTGATAGCCGAGGCGATGTGAAGGAACGCTCGGTCTGGCTTTCGAGTTAACGTTTCCAACGTTTCGTCGAAACATTTCGATTTACTTCTTCAGGCGGAGGAACAACCCGAAACCAGGTCGAGCGTTTAATCGTGTTTCCTAATAGCGCGGAAATGGATTGAGCCGGTGGAATTTATTTCCCTAAGGGAAGATAATAAAGTTTCCAGTCATTTCCCGAGATACTCCGATTGTGAAAACATTGCGCGATAATAGCAATCATGAATTAACGAATAATTTCATAATGGTCGCGCTAAATTATTTGCAAACAGTTAAATGCAAAACATTTATCAATATTTCATGGAAGTTCAATATTTCTACGTGTTCTACTTTTTCTTACATGTATGCACGTAATCGCATAAGTTTCGTGCAAAATTTCGCCATACAGTTGCATAAATGTTTTCTTATTTGTCCTAATTGGGGTGTAATAGTACGTAGGAAACGGAAAGACGATAAATTAGGGCGGAATGTCGATGTGTTCCTCGATCACAAGATTCAATTTTTGCTATAAAATTCTTCCCGTATAGAGCAAATATTACATATTATGTTTACGCGCCAAGTCGGAAAATGGGGAAACCTTCCGTCGATTCTTCCTGAATCGCTTGCTTTGACGAAATTTCCAAGATTGCTCATCAAACTATTGTAGTAAAATCGAAATCGCTTTATTTTGAGCGAGCGTAACGCTCGGGCAAAATGAAGCGAACAATTACGAATCCTTCAATTGAGGATCTTGTGAACGTACTATATATCGAATAGTAAGGTGGTTCCCAACTAACACCTAGAGTACTCGTCGGTATCGAGCAGTCGTAATGGCGTGTCCTCGTACATGGAATCGGCGACGTCTGCTGTGGAAACGAGGACGTCTTCCTCGTCGCAGAACATGGGCCAAATTTCGGAAAGCGCGGCTTCCTACGAGACTCGCGCGATCACCGGCGGAACGGCGGAATCGAACGTCGACAGTCGAACAGCTAAAATCGCTCTCACCAGCGACGCTGGCAAACCCGTATTTATCAATACGATAGAGGGATGCAGTGTGGAACGTAAGTTTGCGTCGTAGAAGCTTTATCGAAATTTATAGACATGTCAGATGCATCGTACTTGCATAAGATGTATCAGAAATCGTCCATTTTTTCTGGCGAAAGGGAGTAATGCTCGTTGCTATTTTGAAATATTATCCAATAAACGAGAAACATTAAATCAATTTTTTGAGACATTGATTTTATTGGCTTATTTTATATTCTTATATTGAAAAAAAAAAACAGTAGAGAATAAAACAGTTAAGTAATTTGCGAACATAATTTCTGATATATATCTCGTACATGATAGAATATATGTCGACACTCTGTTACATTTAACGATCTTAATATTATACTTGTAACTAATCTCTCTTTATTCTAATCGTATATATTGAATTTATATGATATTTTGCAGTATTACTGATTATATTTAGCTGTACAAACACGGTTACTCGCAAAGTCTAGCCGGTTGTGACTGGATACATTTCTTTTCGTGGAAGGAAATTATGTATACTACGTTATCACGAAACATATTTGTCGGATATCGTAATTTATTGAAAGTATCTTCGATGATTCAGTGTTAAATTGTTGAAAAACATAACGCGCACATTCGAACCGATCACAGGACATAAGATACATTTTTACTGTTCTAGCGACGCGACCAAAAAAGGCATTGATACACGCCATAGGTAAAGTGACTTTGTACTTAGTTCATCGCCGTTCACTATTTTCTTGTCTCTCTCTCTAGACTTTCCTCTTATAGCCAGCTGAGTAAATTGCTTTTAGACGTAAATATTACTGTCGCTGGTTGAACACGCTTCACCGCTAAGCTCTAGATATCAGCTGTACGTAAATTTCTACACTAAACATTCACACTTTCTCACTCACACCGCCAAGTTACTCACGACACCACCCCTACACTCACAACTCTACATTTACAACGACACCGTTTTTCCCCGCCGTCTCTCAAGGTTCGTATTTATGTTACAGATACAATTTCTTTTTTTACACTGCAAACATAAAATATTTTCATTGGTTTTAGTTTACATTCGACTTTAACGGGACGGAATTGCGAAACCGTTTGGAACCGAGTTTTCCAGTTAATTTTGCCCGAACGTTGATAACACACCACTGTTAATTACTTTGTGCATTAAATGTCGCCTCTTCGTCGCACCTGCATTCGCAATCTCGTGAATCACAACTTGAAATGCACTCTTACATGTGTTTTGCATTATTCGATCTTCATGTATGTATCAATCTTTATACATAATTAGAGCAAATCACCATTCGCGCATTTGGATCACTCGAGCACGACGACGTTGTCCATTTCGAATCTCTCAAATAGAAGACAGTCACACCTGAGCCGACGTGCTTCTCACGGGACACGACTCGTCCTATCGCTTTCACGCTAACTTCGAATCGCCTTTTTAGCCGGGGAAGTCGCCACCTTCGAGTGCACGATGTTGACCACCGACGTGACTACCAGAATACAGTGGTTGAAGGACAACAAGCCGATGGAGGATAAGCTGGCCGATCGTGTAACCACCACGCTGGCCGATAACATCTGCAAGCTCGAGATCCAGAATGTTCACGAGTCCGACTCCGGCATATACATCGCGCGAGCGTTGAACACGGACGGTGAAGCGACCTGTACCGCGCAACTGATAGTTCAAAAACGTAAGTCGATCCAGAGCGAAGGGATCCATCATGCTTTTGTCTGTTAGATATTTCCCAAATAGTCCAAATGTCTAAAATACATCTTACAGGCATCTAAACGACGTGGAACAAGCAGAGTATATTTTAGAGCTCTTTGAAAATATTTTAGACTCTTTTGGACATTCGTGCTGTCAGAATTTTTATAATATCTCCCGGATATTTCATATTGTCTACTTTACATTTCTTGTGAAATTTCATTCGAAGAATAAAGTGGCAGTTGAATCATTCGAATTCGAGTAATTTTTCACTCATACAAAGTGAATTCTCTGCTCTGAATCGTCGAGTAAATATCTTCAGTTAAAATTAAAAAATGGATCTAATGTATGTAACGTTTCGTTACAGAATCAGATTCACTGAAATTAATTGAAACATTCGCCTGTATAGAATCAGAATTCATTTTTACGATTCCGACAGTATTTTTATTGCCGCTTTAAATGAATTTCGAGCAGATTTTCGAGTGAGGTTTCACTCTAAGAAATTTAAACAGTACAACGTAAGAGAGTTTGTTTATTATTGCGGAAAATATTATAGTGAGTCCGGAGGAGAAGAAGGCAAGAGCGGACGCGAACGCACCTATCTTCTTAGTGCGTTTGAAGGACACCGAGCTCTTGGAGAACACCTATCTGCGCTTCATGATCAAAGTCAAGGGAGATCCCAACCCTGAAATGAAGTTGTGAGTGTCTCGATTCGAATCGTACACGAGGAGAGTGTTGTAGCTTCCTTGGTGAAAATATTTTACTGAAAATGTAATAAAAATTTGCTGAAACGTATTTGAAAATCTTTCTTAATTGACTTCGTTTTATCATCATTTCATCAATATTTTAGTAAAAATTCATTTTAATCAGTATTTCAGAATTTTTCCTTTAAAAAGTCAGACAGTTTTCAGTTATATTCAATAAATTCTACGTCTCCTTCCAGCTTCAAGGACGGCACGCTGATCGACGTGAAGCACGAACGCGTGAAAATCATCCGCGACAACGCCGAGAAAGGATTCTATGAGCTAGTGATTGCCGACGTGCAGAAGAAGGACGCCGGCAAATATTCGTGCACAGCTATGAACCGCTACGGCGAAGCCACGTGCGAGGCGGAGGTGACGGTGACGGACGAGAAGCCGCTCTTCGCCGGACTTCCGGAAGGTCTCCTCGAGCTTGGAACTGAGCCGCACTTCACTTGGTTGCGCGACGGCCAGCCATTCGATCCTGAGGAGAGATTTAAGGTTCTCTTCAAAGATAACGAGGACACTCTGGCGTTGGTGTTCCAGCACGTGAAGCCCGAAGATGCTGGTCTTTACACGTGCGTGGCGCAAACCAGCACAGGTAATCTATGATAATTATTATTTAAAATATTAATATAAAATCTTGAAGAATGTGGTACGCGAAATATTTCGCTGGTGACTTCAGTGTCTTCAATCGAGGCATTTTCTTCACGCAGGTAACATCAGCTGCAGCGCGGAGTTAACGGTGCAAGGCGCGGTGAATCAGCTGCTGAAGGATCCGGAAAAGCCGAAGCTGCAAACGGATTCGAAGCAGTCGGAAGTGAGCATCGGCGGTTCCGCGATGTTAGACCTGCAGGTAAAGGGTTTCCCGAAGCCGGACATCAAGTGGACGAAGGACGGGCAAGAGATCGCGGCCGGAGGCAGGATCAAGTACCTCTGGGAGGACGAGGAGTCGCTCTCGCTGGTGATTAAGCAGGTCACCGCGAAAGACGCGGGCGTTTACACCATCACGGCGAAGAACGATCTCGGCGAGGACAGCACGCAGATCGAGCTGATCGTCAAGTCCGCGCCTAAGGTCACGAGGAAGCAGTCGGATATGATGATCCTCGTGGAGGATACGGGCACGATGGTGGTGCAGGTGGAGGCCACCCCGGCGCCGGAGGTCACGTGGTACAAGGATGGCCAGCAGATCACGGAGAGCGAGCGTATAAAGATCATGAAGGAGAACGGCGACACGTACAAGCTGGTGATGAAGAACACGAAGGTGACTGATGGCGGCTCTTACTCGATCGTCGCGCGCAACGAGGTCAATCAGACGACCGAGATCTGGAAGGTCGGCATCAAATGCCCGCCGAAGATCAAGAAGAAGCTGGGCGAGCCGCGTGTGATCAACGAGGGCGACACGCTGAATCTTCTGATCGAGGTGGACTCCGAGAGTGAGCCGAGCGTCAATTGGTACAAGGACGGTGAACTTTTGAAAGCGAGTGATCGCGCGAAGATGACGAAAAACGGGAACAATTACATACTCACAGTGAGCGGCGCGACGGTGGAGGACGCGGCGGTTTACAAAGCCGAGGTGGTCAACAAGCACGGAACGATTTCGGACGACACGAGAGTCAGGGTATGATATATAATACTTGAGAGTGTAAAAACGTAACTTTCACCAATCAAAATTAGAAAATCAAGTAATTAGTTAATATTATGTGCCTGAAAATTATTTGTATCTCAGAGAAGAGATAGTAGCATGCGGTCTCTAATCATTATTATCCGCAATAATGGTTGTGACATCGGTCGTCTGATCAAAATACTTAAAAAAATCCGTGCAGGTGCGCGGCATACCGAGATTCAAGACGAAACTGTGCGACATCACCGCGAACGAGGGCGACCTGAACGTCGAATTCGTGGTGGAGGTGGAGGGCTTCCCGAAGCCGAACGTGCAATGGTTCCTGGGCGACGTCGAGATCACGGAGAAGCGTACGGAGTACACTCGCGTGGAGGAAGGCGACAATTACAAGCTCATCGTCAAGGAAGTGAAGACCGAGCTTAAGGGCCACTACACGTGCAAGGTGCACAACGAGTACGGCGAGAACTCGAGCAGCTCGGACCTGACGGTGAACACACGGCCGAAGCTGCTGAAGAAACTGACGGATCAGCGGCTGAAGGAGGGCGAGACGCTGACACTGTCGTTGGAGGTGTCCGCCACGCCGGAGCCGGAGGTCAAGTGGTACAAGGACGGCGAGGAAGTGTCGGCGGACGCCCGGATCAAGATCACCAGGGACAGCCAGCGCAAAGAGAGTTACGACCTGACGGTGACGTTGCTGAAGGGTTCGGACGGCGGCTTGTACGAGGTGCGGGCCGAGAACGCGCTGGGCTACGTCACCAGCAAGAGCAAGGTCATCGTGTTGAGTGAGTATACTGGCTTCTCTTCAACGTAGCCCTGGAACTCGACTTCGACGCGAACCGACGATGGTGTAGCAATAATATGCAGCTTAGAATTAAACAACATGCATATCAATATCTTCTCTCCGAACGTTTCCCCTCCGGGGTATCTTCGCAGAGTTTTCACGTGTTTATTTCGAGCATTTATCTTCGCGTCGCGCTTCATCTCGACCGGGTCCAGTTCCAGGATTAAACGCGGGGGGATAATTTTGGCAGAGTTTGAGAGAATCGTACGAGGACGGCTGAAATCGTGATATTTTCCGGGACACAGCGGTCTCAGCAATAAGCAACGAATGTCTCTAATTTTTGAGAGACAACAGCGGTAAAAGTCGTCGTGTTTCGACTACTGTTCAGTAAGTACCGAATGCAAAGCGGACGATGACACACGATTACCCTATCCGTTTTGTCTTCGTTTTCTTTTCCTCGATGTGATATTTTGCCAAATTCTCCGACGGCCTTTAACGACGAGGTTCAATCGCGAGATCATTTCCTAGATAGTTCCTCTAGCTGATAGTGCGATAGATCTGTGTGTACAGAAAGAAACTCTTTCCCGATCCTTAAACGAAAGAGGAGACCTTGTAAACCACGTCACATGATCGACGTTGACGCAGTAAACGCCCAGATGGACATATTTCATTATATTGCCTAGCAGAAGTACATTAAGATGCGTCTTCATACAACAAGCATTTTGTACATACGAGAGTCATGTAGGTTTCAGAATTGAAATTTTGACGCGAAAATAGCGAAAACAGAAAATTTAAGACATCGTCAGGTTGAAAAAGTAGGAATTATATTATTAGAATTGACGTTCCCCTTTATCGAATTCTCGAGATCCTTTCCTTCTTTAAACTAATACATAGATATTAGCATCACGCTCTCGTCGGACTGTTTTACATTAAATGTTTGCATACTATGTTCAGTATTTCTGTCTATCTGGACGTGTTCTTTTTATCTCATTCTCTCTTCTTATTGATAAATACCGTACGATTGCTTCCTGCGTGCACACCGGAGCTCCTCCCCCGGGGGATCCGCACACCGTTCCAATTTTCTCTCTCTAAAACGTCACGAGTACTGACATCTATCGCGTCTTGAAGCACGTCACGATAGAAACTCGATGGAATGTACTTCCGTAGCTGAAACGGAAGACAAGGTCGACGAAAAGGTACAGCCGCCGCGGGAGAAGGTGGTGAAGGTGACGGTGCAGGAGGAGGAAACTCGAGCGGAGAAACCGATAGAAGTGGAAGTGTCGCAGCAGCCGGGCCTGCGCGCCGAAGAGTCGGGATCGGAAGGTAACTTGGCCAAACTCCGTCACGGAGTGAGCATAAGAGTGAGAATAGAATTTGCCACAGCTCTTCACATTCTTTCTTTCCCACCGCTTCGTTTGGAAGGCAACGAGCATTGCGCTTGCGACAATCGAGGCATCGACACGCGACTCGTAGGACCGTCTACGACTTGGCCGCACTTGTGCTTCTCGTCGTCTTATGAGGTCTCATCATATGCTGAGAGATACTTTAATCCCAGGATGCATCATGGGAGCAGTTTTCACGATTATTTTCCAACTAGTTTGATCTTTCCGTCCACATTCCATCCGCGGATTTTTCCAGTAGAGACACCTCTCTTTTCATATCGTCTCTCTTTTTCTTTTTTTTTTTTTCATAGTTTTTATTGAAGAAGAACCATGCATCCCAGGATTAATGATCGGGGGAAATTAGCATCTCGCTTCTCGCGTTACCACTATTTTGTGCACCTTGATCGTCGCTTGAGTTGGTTCCAACTACACGTGTAAGAGCGGTCTCTCACAGAGAGTTAGATAGATATGCGTGACGCATACTCACGTCCGTGATTTGTCACACACATACACACCAAATATACACACAAGAATACACGAAGCATTTGGTCGCCGAGCACGTGATATTAATCTCACTTGTTCGGTCCGGATTCGTTAGCGTAATTTAGCCGTTTTGAAGAGATAGTTCGAAGAGTTTCTGATTTAAAAGTCACTTGTGACGGTAGTTTTTGGCGAAACAATGTCTGGTATAAATTTAGGTCGCGTCACACTGGAGAGACAAAACGTCCGAGTAATTCAAGGGGACAATGAAACGATCACGATCTCCGTGGCCTCCTCGACGACTCACGAAGCTATACTCACAGGTAATCTGACGCACACACACCACGTTGGAAAAATGTATGCAACCTTCACCCCTCTGAGCAACTGGGTGACGCAAAAGTCTGAAAGATATCTCCTTGCGCAGTCTACACTGAGAAAAAGAATGGTGAAATCAACTGAACTTTGCTTGGTTGAACGAAAATTGTTCGGGCAAATATTTCTTCAGTCTTTCAGACTTTCGCGGACGCGTAAACGATGCTCGCTCGACAAACTAACAACCACACGAACGTACACACCGGGGACACGAAAATCGCGTTGCGTTTCCTGCAAGCCCAGCTTGTTCGAAGACAGCACGAGGTTTCTCGTCGACGTCTGCTTCAATCGTGATCGGGTGGTTTCGTTTAATCGATTCACAATTCATTCATTGCTGTGAAAGAGACGAGCGGACGACAGTGACGACGACGACTCGCGCGCGGGGCTGTTAGCGGTCGAAGTGGTATGAGGTCAGGCGGTTCGCAGGTCCCGACGAAAGTCACACGATCAGCAAGATGACGGCGACCAAGGTCGAGTGCCGGGAGTTCGGTATCGACTCGATGGGAGGTCCCCGCGTCGAGGAGGTCGCTTCCTACGCTTATACCGCGCAAGAGGAGAACTCGAAGCCGCAGAACGGCGTGCTGGTCGAGGAGTTCTCGGAGACGGAGGAGAAACGGTCGAACCTGGCGGCCAATCGGGGCGTCACGATCGTGTCCGTGTCCGACGACGAGTCGACTTTAAAGGCGCTCTCGCGGGATGTCAGCACGGAGGACATGCAGACGGCCGATCTGCCGGAGGATCAGCGGACGACCAACGGCGTCTCCGACGAGCTCTACTTCAACGGAACGCCGGAGGACGTTCGACTGCACAGGCTCTCCCGGATCACGGAGACCATCGTCGAGGAGCGCTCCTCCGAGGAGCCGTCGTCGGTGGGCCAAACGTTGCAGAAGGAAGATTTGGACGCGAAGGAGACGAACGTGCCCGTCCAAAGCGCAATGATCAGCGACGTGAGTCCGGTGAAGAAGGTCGCTGAGAGCACTCTCGATCGATCGGACGCCGCCGTGGAGGAGGAAGGATTCTCGAAGCAGAGATTCTCCGGCGAGATGTCGAACGCATCGCCGAAGAAGGCTGCCGAGGAAACGCTGTCGAGGCAGAGTTCTCAGAAAGCGCTTCTTGACGACGACGACGAGGAGATCGACGAGGACATGAAGAAGCTCCTAGCTCGCGTTAAACGGCAACGTAGCGTGCTAGACGAGATCCTCGATAAAGAGTCGGGCAGAGAGTCAGGTACGGCCGCAAGGTTCCATCGGTAGCTTCGCCGGCTAACTCTAATCTCTCAGCACGACGACCCTCGTCGGAACAGACCGCGTCACCCCTGTTTACTCTGGTCTGGCAGATCGAGATCTCGCTAATTCTTTCGCATGTTGTTGAGCTCACGTTTTCATTGTGTCTCACTCGCATGTGCTCGCGTGAAACGTCCATAAAAGGTTTAGCAACTTTTAAAATTGCCATTATTCTTACATGAAAACGTTTTATCTACCTTAGCCCTTTGAAACACTATTTCCATCTACTCAATATTCATCTGTTAAAATAACGCGTATTAAATGTCCAAAATAAAAAATCAAGATTCAAAGTGTTAACCCTTTGCGCTCGAGGCCTTTTTCGCTCGAGCGAATCAGCGACTCGAGAGGAGTTAGCTTATTTCATGAGTTTTTCACAGTTAACTTAAAATGATAAGACATCTTTGTAGCTATTACCTCATAAGGTTACACACAAAGGGCTAGGAGTAGACTCGTGAAGCGATATTCGTTAGACCAAATCTAAATAAACACCGTTATCGCTCGATTTGCCGCCTCGATTCGAGCCTGAGAGGCACCGCTCGAGTTGTCGCATCATATCCAGTGGTGCCTGAGAGGCACCTCTCGAGCGCAAAGGGTTAATATCTGTAATAATGATATTATAAATTCTTAATATTATTAAGGTTCTTAATATTATTTTTCTAATATATTCATATTAATATATCTCTCATATTTGTGCCTCCACGCCCGCGCAATATTGCCTATCTGTATCCTTAAAACCGTTATTTTATTTGACGCTGACTCATAGCACCGCACTGCTACTGTTCACCGTCTTAAAAGATCTGTGTATCGAGGTAAGGTTGTGGCTTTCTCTTTCTACACAGCGAGTGATGGTCGATAATTTGATAATCTTCACCGTGCAGCTTGCCGAGCACCCACCTAACTCGTTTCCAGGTAAGTACGTTAAAGTACGTTATCCAGTAGATATAGACAAAAAAAGCACAGCCTGATAATTGAGCAGCAAGGATATGAGCAGCACTAGATGTGAGCATCGAGTTTCAGCTTATGTCCGTCATCACATATATATATATATATATATTTTTTTTTTTTCAAAAAATAAGAACCTGTCAGTTCTTATTTATTTGACCTCCGACGAGCCACGGCTTATTCTTCTCGTCTATTCACGCAGCACCGCCTCACGTATTGAGCACGAATCTCACCGACCGTACGATCTTCGAGACGCAGAATACGCAGTTCGAGGTGAAGGCCTCTGGTCTGCCGAGGCCGGACGCGGTATGGCTGAAGGACGGCAAGACGCTTCGTTCTGGCGAACGGGTGAGGATCAGCGCGGCCGGCGAGTCGTATGAGATGGATCTTAGCAAGGCAACCCTCGAGGACGAAGGTGTCTACATGTGCGTTTTGACGAACAAACTGGGCGAAGAGACAGTAGAGGGTTACCTGACCGTCGGCACGGTCGACGATCTTCGCAAGCCGAGATTCAGCGAGTCCCTTAGCGACGTGGACGTCGCACTCAAGACCGACGGGGAGTTCAGGGCTGTCTTCACAGCCGACCCGGTTCCGGATGTAAGATGGTGCGTACACAGGCTGTACTGTCTGCAAAGTAGAAAACACGGCTAGTTTTGACCAATAAATAACCAAGTCGACACAAGTCGTCAGTTGTGAAATGATTTAATAACAATTGTACAATAATATATTTCGTAGGTATTACAAAGGTCTCGAGATCCCGTCGGATGATCCTAGAATTAAGGCGACCATCACCAACAGTCCGGCGGCGGACAAGCTGACAGAGAGTAAAGTTACGCTAAAGGTGCCGAAATGCACTAAAGAAGATACTGGAGAATATAACTTGAGACTGATAAACAAGTGGGGCGAGGCTGAGTCTACCGTAAGTAATGGAAATGATGTAACGCATTCAATAACCGAGATAATAACCGAAACTTGTATCCTCCCAGGCGTTTCTGAGTCTTCTTCTGAAGCCGGAAATCGACACCTTCCGAGATCACAGCGAGTCGGTTGACGAGCGAGTCGAGTGGCAAGCGATTGTCAGAGGCAACCCGAAGCCCGCTATCACGTGGATGAAGGACGGCACGGAGCTACAGAAGGACGATCGATACGACATGGAAGAGGACAAGAGAAACTGCAAATACAAGCTCGTCATCAAGAAGCTCAGTCTCGAAGACGGCGGCGCTTACACGATCACGGCGAAGAACTACCTGGGTGAAGCGAGTGCTCAGGCTACCTTGACGCCTCACAGTAAGTCCATCTGGTTCTCACGGTGAAATATATAGACGCGCGAAGTATGAAAGATATCTTCAGAAGTATTGGCGACAGAAAATCATTTTATCAGGCAAAGTTAATTTTTTTTTATCATATATATATATAATTCAAGATTATGATTCATCTTTCGCATATTATTATACTTTCATGATACAAAGACATCCGAATTTTCCACAGCCGAGCGTCCGACCTTCCTGAAGGACCTTTCGAAGATACAGTGCAGCGACCGCGAGGACATCGACCTGAAGATCCGCGCGACCGGCATCCCAAGGCCGAGCATCACCTGGCTGAAGGACGGTGAGATCGTCAAGGAAGACGACCGGCACCAGTTGGTGACCCATGTAGATGGCATAGTGGACAGTGTCCTCACTATCAAGACCTTCTGCGCGGACGACATCGGCAAGATCACGTGCAAGGCGAGCAATGTCGCTGGCGCCACGCAGACCAGCTGCGATTTGTCGATGACGTTCACCGCGCCTTCATTCGGCCGACCGTCGCTGCCGAGGTCGATGGAGGTCGACGAGGGTGAGCCGCTCGAACTGAAAGCCAAGGTGGACGGCAGTCCGATACCGAACGTCGCTTGGTTCAAGGACGGCGAGAGGATCACACCGGATGATCACGTGAAGATCACCGCCTTGCCGGACGGCACCACCAAGCTTACGATCGACGTCGTCAAGCCCACCGATTGCGGCGCCTACAAGCTCGTCGTCTCGAACTCCAGCGGCGACGATTCCTCGCTCTGCGCCGTCGCTGTCACACGTAAGTGAAACGTTTTTACATTGAAATTATTTTAATTCATTAATCTTAAACTACGAGTCTCAACGTTCGGTTTTCCCATTTCAATTCGTCGAGGCGAAATGGAAAGATCGAACGTCGATTTAATTATTAAATACAGTTACAAATAACTCTTCGTGTACTTGATAACAGAAATTAAAATTAATATGAAATTATATTGGGATAAAATTAAAATGAATATTAATGTGAAATTAATAATAGCATAAAATTATATTTAACATTAAGATCATGCTAAAATCAATAACAGTTTGCGATTTGATTAAGCGAATTTAATTACGAAGCGGTCCGTGCTCCTTACAGCTTCGCGAAGGAAACCGTCGTTCACGAAGCCGTTGGAAGACGCGAAAGCCGTGGTCGGGCAACCGTTGAAGCTGGAAGCTCAAGTATTAGCATTCCCGAACCCGCAGGTGCAATGGTTCAAGGATGGTATACCGTTGAGGCACACGAAGGAGATGTACTTCATGAACGAGCCGAATGGCCAGATCGGCTTGAAGATCGATTACGTACGTCCGGAGGACGCGGGCACCTATTCCTTGATTGTGTCCAACACACTCGGTGAAATCACCGGCACCGCCAAAGTAGAGGTGGAGGAGAAAGAGAAGAGACCGGAGTTTGTTGCGAGCCTCCAGCCGCAAACTGTCGTCGAAGGTTTCCCGGTGAAGATGGAGGTGAAAACTGTCGGAAAACCAATGCCCGAGCTCAAATGGCTGCGAAACGGCGACGAGGTTTTAATATATATCATATTATATTATATTATATAAATATTGTTCTTAATGTTTGGGGCAAATATTGTTAATAATGACGTTGTTACACAATATTAAGAATTTGAAAACGTTATATGTTATAAAATATCATTGTAATAAAATAACGTCGTATTAATGCCTCCTTGCTCACTGGGATACGTATTTTTTATTTTAAAACATAACATTGTGTGTCTGATATTATTTATACGTAATTAAAAAAATATATATATATTTAAATATTTTAAAGTCGATTTGTCTAACAAAATGAACGTGTCTTCAGATTGTTCCCGACAATACGCACGTAAAGATCATCAGCCAGCCGGACGGCAGTCACGCGTTGGTCCTCGACAAGGCGACGCCAGAGGACGTAGGCGAATATCAAGTGGTGGCCGGCAACACGGAGGGCACCGCGTCCTGCAAAGCCAAACTGGACGTCGCGAGTAAGACGAGGCCGGACACGCCGGAAGAGAAGCCGGCCTTCACCAATCCCATGCGTGACGTGTCCGTCGAGGAGGGTCAGCCGTTGGCGTTGGACGTGTCGTTCGTCGGCAATCCCGTTCCCGAAGTGAGCTGGACGAAGGACGGCGAGTCGGTGAAGCCATCGGAACGCGTGACGATGAGCTGCGACGGCAGGAAGGTCAGTCTGGAGATCAAGCCATGTAACGTCAAGGACGCGGGTGCCTACAGCTGCCGGCTGAGCAATCCGCTCGGCGAGGACACCACCGGCGCGAACGCCATCGTCAGGAAGGTCTATCAGTCGCCGACCTTCACGCAGAAGTTCACCGATCTGCAGCAGTTGCCCAGCTTCGACGCCAAATTCCCGGCGCGCATCACTGGCATACCGCATCCCGAGGTCACGTGGTACTTCAACGACAGGCCGATCTTGAAGGACGACGACAAATACAAGATCAAGCGCGACGGCGATGCTTGCTGCTTGTACGTGAAGGACTGCTCTTACGACGATTCCGGGCGGTACAGATGCAAAGCGGTGAACAAGGGCGGTGAGGCAGAGTGCGCAGCCAACTTGGCTGTGGTTGACAAAATGTAAGAGATCCTCCTCATTTTCTCTTTAGAAGATAATCTTATAAAATCTCGTATAAAATTATATATATATATCTTTCTTTTAAGGAAAGAGGATAAGATGTCGAAAAAGAAATTAGAATGTGCGAGAATCCGTGTCGAGTTACATAATTCATAATTTCAGCGAGAAGATGCAGAAGATCGAGCCACCGGCGTTCCTGAAGAGGATCGGCGACTGCGAGGTTTACAGAGGCATGCCGGCCAAGTTCACCGCGTGCGTCACCGGCTATCCGGAGCCCGACTTCGAGTGGTATCGCAACGGCGACCGAATCTGGCCCTCCGATCGCATCAAGATGGATCAGGAAGGTAGTCTGTTGCGACTGACGATTTCCAACGTGGACGAGCTGGATGCCGGCAAGTACGTACTGAAGATTTCCAATCCTCATGGTGAGGACTCCTGCAGCGCCGAGATGATTTACGAATGTAAGTGCATAAAAGTTCCCGTATTAAAGGAAAGCATTAGACTGAAAGATCGTAGATTACATTTCTGTGAAATAATGAAAAGATAGTTTTTTTATAAAAAAAAACATTTTCGCGCTATTGCACATAGTTGCAATAACGTTCGATTGCTGGTTTTCTGCTCACTAAGTCATAGTTCGACCATTGAGTCTCCTTCGATTTCAGCCTTGGAACCACGAGCGAAGAAGCCTCTGGCCGACCAATACGCGGACTTCGACAATTACCGGAAGTCCGGCGTGCCGTTGCCGCTGGCGGACCGTCCGATCATCAGCCGCATGATGGACCGCCATCTCACCCTCTCCTGGAAGCCGTCCATCCCGATCGGGCCGCGAGTGCCGGTCACCTACCTGGTGGAGATGTGCGAGCTGCCGGACGGCGACTGGTTCACCGCGCGCACCGGCGTCCGCAGCTGCGTATGCGACATCCGGAACCTCGAGCCGTTCCGCGACTACAAGTTCCGCATCCGCGTGGAGAACAAGTACGGCATCAGCGATCCGTCGCCCTTCGCCCAGACCTACCGGGCCAAGCTCGAGCCGGAGCCGCCCAAGTTCTTCCCCTACCTGCCACCCGGCATCGACTTCCGCCCCGAGACCAGCCCGTACTTTCCGAAGGACTTCGACATCGAGCGGCCGCCCCACGACGGCTACGCACAGGCGCCCAGGTTCCTGCGTCAAGAGTACGACACCCAGTACGGCGTGAAGAACCACAACTGCAACCTCTTCTGGTTCGTCTACGGCTACCCCAAGCCGAAGATGACGTATTATTTCAACGACCAGCTGATCGAGTCGGGCGGCCGTTACGACCAGAGCTACACCAGGAACGGCCAGGCGACCCTCTTCATCAACAGGATGCTCGAGAGAGACGAGGGCGTCTACGAGGCTGTCGCCACTAACGAGCACGGCGAGGCTAGGCAGAGAGTCAACCTGAAGATCGCCGAGTACCCCACGTTCATCGAGAGACCCGACGAGACCATCGTGATGGTGAGGAGGACCGGCCAGCTGGTCGCTCGCGTCACCGGCGTACCCTACCCGGAGCTCAAGTGGTACAAGGACTGGAAACCCATCGCTTCGTCTTCCAGGATCAGGGTTCGTGCTCTTTGTACTCTATTCTTTTTTTATCCCGTTATATTTTGTTACATGCAATAGAGAATCGGTATTCGACGCATAACACAGTTATAAACATTGTTATATCATTAATATTTTTATCATTAAACAATTTATATTACACGTCTGTAAAGATATCTTCTTGGTCAAGTTTGCTTTCGGATGGTAGATTCAGTTCACCGAACCGGACACGACGACCCTCATCATCAACGAGGCCATCACGAAGGACGAGGGTCTTTACTCGATCAGCGCGGGCAACGTGGCGGGCTCGGTATCTTCCTCGGTGATACTCCACGTGGAGGAGAACGAGCACGAGTACGGATACAGAACTTACCGGCACAAGATGGACGTGCAGCCGCGCGACAAACCGTTCGGCGACTTCTACGACCTGGGCGACGAACTCGGTCGCGGCACGCAGGGTGTCACCTACCACGCGGTCGAGAGGAACACCGGTAGAAATTACGCCTCCAAGATCATGCACGGTCGCGGTGACCTCAAGCCGTTCATGTACAACGAGATGGAGGCGATGAACAGTCTGCATCATCGCAAGCTCCTGCGGCTGCACGACGCTTTCGAGACCAACGATTCGGTCACCCTCGTTATGGAACTGTATCCTTCCGTTACTACACTTATGTCTCAAATCACGATAATTGAGTCAAGGTAATTGTGACATCAGAGTAATCGTGGCGGCGTAATATTATTTTTACAGAGGTACAATTACAATTATTTATTGAAATTATTTGCCTTTTTTTTCATTAATATTATAGGGAATATTTATTAATATTATTGTTCTTTATATGTAATAGTTTTACACAATTACCACAAGATGGGCAATCACTATTTTTTTATTTTGTGGTTATTAATACTTTTATTACTGGAATATGTTACGATTACCTTGATTGATTCTGCAGTTTTTTTTTTTTTTTTTTTTTTTTTATACAACGTTCGAAACTGGCAGAATGACATAAAAATGAAAAATCCTTAACGATAATTTAGAGCGGCTGGTGGAGAATTAGTAGACACTCTTGCGAGACAAGAATTTTACACCGAGATAGACGTTGCTCGTTACATACGCCAATTGTTATGGGGATTGGAGTACATGCACGGAAATCATTATGCGCATCTTGGTCTGACGGTACGTTATATATAAAATTTGCTTTTATTATATACATTTTTATTTTATTTTTATTTTTTATATAATTTATTTCTTATATGAAAGATTCATCGTTTATATCACTTGTGCATTCAAATCAACAAATTAAATATAAAATTCGAGCTCTAAATAATTTCAAAAGTAGTAACGTAACTCGCAAAAGTGAGCATTTATTTTTACAAGTCAATGACATAACAAATAACTGTGATGGATATATTTGATTTAGTAATAATCTTCCTTTCATTTTCAATTTAACTTAATCTTTGATTTAATTAATTCTCATTCAATATGATCTTAATCTAAGTATATAATTTTTCTTTAATTCTATTTAATAATGATCTTTCCCCTCAGCTCGGCGATCTCCTGATCTCCCACTCCGGCGGAGACGACCTGAAGATCGGCGACTTCGGGCTCGCTCGCAAAATTTCGCAGGCGAGGCTGATGACCTTGGCGTATGGTATGCCGGAATACGTCGCACCGGAAGTGACCAATAACGAGGGCGTCAGCTATCCCGCGGATATGTGGGCCGTCGGTATAATCACCTACATCTTGCTGTCGGGTATATCACCGTTCAGAGGTGCGAACGACCGAGAGACGTTGACGAAGATCAGAGCCGGCAAGTGGGACTTCGACGAGCGATGGAGGAATATTTCGAATGAAGCGCAGGACTTTATTCGCAGCCTATTAGCGTACAACGTCGAGCAGAGGATGGACGTCAAGACCGCCTTGGCTCACCCGTGGTTCAATTACATCGACAGCTTGCCACCGGAGCCCTACAGAATACCGTCCGAGAACTTGAAGAACTACTATAAACTTTACCGGCAAGTGGATTCTAATAATATTCTAAGGATGCATTTACAAGCAAGTGTGTCGTAATAAATAATTCCGCATATTTTTTTAACGAAAATTTACATTTTTACGGAGAATTAGGGGACTAAAGAGAGTAAAATAAGAATAGGAAAAATTCCGGGAATGTATTTCGTACGATCGGAAAATGTCTCGATTTACGAAGAGCATATTTTTACAGCGATTGGTACAGCAACGCTTCCAGCCGCATGTGGTATCGCAGGCGCAAGTTGGAGACCGCGTTTGAACATCCCTCGCGAATGGTGTATCCACCAGGACACAGATTCACGCCTGAACCCAGCGTCGACAGGAGTTACAGCCCAAAGAAGCCCTCGGCCAGGACGTGGGAGAACCAAGTGCCGTCCAGGGAGCCGATTGACACGGAAATCGGAATTATCAAGAGCGAAAGCCAGTAAGAGACATTCTACAGCGATCAAACGTCAAGTTTTCATAAACATGTGTTCTCATTTTTATCCCTAGACATAAATGCGAGCAACAATATATAAGTAATTCAAATTAAATTAAATTAAAATTAAATTTAACTTGAATTTAACTTAATTTGAATTATTTAAATATTTATATTTATATAATATTAATTTAATCAAGATAATTACAATTAAAGTTTAATTTAATTAAATTTTAATTCTAATGAAAATTAATCTCGACAAAAATCAAGAATTTTGCATTAAAATTTTCACAAGCATGATGTCAGAAATGTAAAGAAATAATGAAATTTTATAGTTATCAAAACGGGCCGGACACGTACCTCCTCCAGCTGCGGGACACGGACTTCCCCGTGCGACTACGCGAATACATGAAAGTCGCGTGCAACCGCAGCCCGGGATTCTCGCGCTCTATCACCGAGGACAACGGCTTCGATTGGAGGGTGAGTATAGACTATTACGTCGTCGTTACGCTCAGATCAAATTCTCCGTTTCGCCACAGGCGCCCATTATTCGAGAACGTCGTCGCTTCACGGACGTCATGGACGAGGAGATCGACGACGAGAGGCGAGAGCGCATCAACCGGTACGGATCGGCGGACACGTACACGCTCAGGCGTTTGAAGAACGAGCTGGGCACCCGATTGGACAGTTACGCCGAAGCCGAGGCGATGATCGGCTCGAAGAAGGAGGGTCAGCCGCCGTTCTTCCGCGAGAAGCCGCAGATCTGCCCGATCCAGGAGGGCAGGCCGGCGCAGCTCGTCTGCCTCGCGGTGGGCGATCCGAAGCCGCTGATACAGTGGTTCAAGAACGACATGGTCATACAGGAGAGCAATCGGGTGAAAGTAACCGAGGACGGCGAAGGGAGATCCATACTCACTTTCAACCCCACGAAAGAACATGACATCGGCATATACAAGGTCGTGGCGAGGAACCCGATAGGACAAACGGTCGTTAGAACCAGGGTGCTCTTGGCGACCGTTCCTTTCGGTCCGGATTCCCCGGAGGTAATCCGATGGTCCGCTTTGCGGATCTGTGACGATGAAGTAGTGTGAAAAGCAAGTTCTAGCGCGCAGAGAATTTTACGGTAAAAATTCGAGAATTGGATCGACAGAAATATCGGAAAGTAACTTGATTTTCCACACACAGAAGAAGAAAAAAAGACCCAAGTTACTTGTATACGTGCTTTTCTTTTTTCACAGACGTCCGACGTCTCGGACACGGAGGTGCTCCTGCGGTGGAAGCAGCCCAAGTACGACGGCAACTCGCCGGTATTGTGCTACAACCTTCAGTACAAGGAGGGGGACTCGATCGCCTGGATAGACGTCGGCTCCAACATCGACCACGAGTTCTACCTGGTGCGCGACCTGAAGCAGGACACGAGCTACAACTTCCGTCTGGCGGCGCGCAATCGCATCGGCTGGAGCGAGAAGGGCATCCCCTCGAAGCTGATCAAGACCCGGCCGCCTGGCTGCCCGAAGGTGCAGATCACGCGCGCGATGAGGCACCTGCAGGAGCTGACCGAAGCCGGGCAGGAGATCGCCCTGGAGGAGGACAAGCAGCGCATCGACTACACCGTGGAGGAACAGCCGATCGAGTGGTCCTCGGCGGAGCCGCAGTTGTCCAGCAAGTACAGCTTCATCTCGGAGCTGTCGCGCGGCCAGTTCTCCGCGGTGGTGAAGGGCGTGGAGAAGAGCAGCGATCGCGTGATCGTCGCCAAGATCCTCGAGCTGAACGCCGAGACGGAGAAGCAAGTGAACCGGGAGTACGAGGCGTTGCGCTCGCTGCGGCACGAGAGGCTGGCGATGCTGGAGGCGGCGTACAAAGCCACGCCGATCGCGATGTTCGTCATGGAGAAGCTCCAGGGCGCCGACGTGCTCACCTACTTCTCCAGCAAGCACGAGTACACTGAGAACTGCGTGGCGAACGCGGTAACGCAGATCCTCGACGGGCTGCAATATCTGCACTGGCGGGGCTACTGCCACCTGGACATCCAGCCGGACAACGTGGTGATGTCGTCCGTGAGGTCGGTGCAGGTGAAGCTCGTTGACATGGGCTCCGCTCACAAGGTCAGCAGGCTGGGCACGACCGTGCCGAAGCAGCTCGGCCATCACGAGTACAGGTCGCCCGAGCTGTACAACGACGAGCCGGTTTATCCCCAGACGGACATCTGGATGGTCGGGGTGTTGACCTACGTCCTACTGTCCGGGGTCTCGCCCTTCCGCGGCAAGGACGCGGACGAGACCCGGCAGAACGTATCCTTCGTCAGGTACAGATTCGAGTATCTCTACAAGGAGCTGAGCCAGGAGGCCACGAGGTTCCTCATGCTGGTCTTCAAGCGTGCGCCGAGGTTCGTGCAATGCACGATGCAAATCAGTCTTCTGCATGATACGAGGAAATAATCGCATTGATTTTTTTTTTTTTTTTTCAGTAAAAGACCATTGACGGACGAGTGCCACGACCACAGATGGCTGTTGCCGACCGATTACATGATCAAGAGACGCGAGAGGGCGGTGTTCCTGGGCAACCGGCTGAAGGAGTACAACGAGGAGTACCACGAGGAGAAATTGAAGCTAGCTTCGGAGAGCGACAGTCTGGCGAGTGAAAGTCTGCTGGGCTCCAAGCAAAAGCTCATCAGGTCGACCAGTATACAAGAAGAGCTGCGCACCACGTTCTAACGATCAAACTGCGATTTTCCATTTATCTTACACATATTCACACGCACTCACACGTACACACATAAAACACGTACCACCTCGCGTACGTTGCCTAGTCTGTTTTACGGAGGACGAGAGGATGAGAAACGAGAGACGCGAGAAGCGAGTTTCTCCGTTTCCTCTTTTGTTATTATTTATTTGTTACAAATTGTAATTATAACGGAGACCACTGCTGTTCGATTATCGATGCTTCGCCGACGGGGATGTCGTCGGCGGTCAAATTACACACAGACACACACACACACACACACGATGAATTTTTTCAGCCGTCCGTTAATTCGACGAGTATAAAACGAATGAATTGCGCTCTACACAACCCGATAAGACAAAGTGCAGATCGAATTTCTTGCGACTCAGCAAGAAATGTTGATTACGCGCGCGCGTTGTACGAATATTATAAATAAATATTTGAGAAAAATGCCTGACAACACGTGACAAGCGCTCGTTATTCTTTCATATTGGACGTATGTGTAGATTGTTGGAACGATTTCCTCTGTGTATTATTAAACATCGACTTTATTTACAGATTCCGCGTTACAGTATTTCCAGAAGAGGACAAGTATTATTGTACACGTGATGCATTTCCAATCCTCTTCTCTTATTCATATATCGAAATAATATTTAGTATACACATTAACAAAATTTTGCTATAACAACCCAGCAATTAAATTATTCAATTCCAGTATAATCTCTCTCTCTCTCTCTCTCTGTCTTTTCGCAATAAAAATAGACTAGCAAAATACGAAACTAGGACAAACCATGTTCAGTCAGTAGATATCAAATAACAACGTCCGCATCTATCAACCGTATTATCCTGAAGCAAGTTAAAATCTATTTCACTCGTTCACCCGGAAAAAAAAAGAAGAGCAATCAAATTAATTCGACAATAGTCCTTGCCTTAAAATGTTACAATGTTAATCATCTCTTTGCATATTGCATTACGTAGTCTCTAACTTTACTTCGAAACGACTCTTTATCCTTAATAAACTGATCCGCTGCATCTTTATTCAAAGGATCATCAAAGTTTAGGAGGTCCTGGAAGAAACACAATGTATACATGTCGGACACAATCGCCGATGAGGATTGAACGTTACGTTATAAATAGTCGTCATGTGCTTACAGTAAAAAGGGAATTTAAACCCCAAACAACGTCTTTCAGCTTGCGAGTCGGCGCCCATCCCATTCCGTCAAGACTACTTTGCCTTAATATAGAAAGGCAGACGTCACCCTCCTCACTTATATTAGGATGCCATAACTTCGTCTGACATTTCACTTTCGGCGGCTGTAAAATGTTCGTTTTAACATACCTTTCCGGTAAACAAAATATTAAGCAACGTGCCAGCAAATTGATAGCTAATTTGATGAAAATGCCATGGTAGATCCACAGTTATCTGTGTTTCCAAGTTCATATTCTGTCAATGACAATTAACTCTATTGGCACAACTTGACGGCAAAATGGCAACAGAAACCAAGCAGAATGTTGAATCCGCAGTATGTTCTTAAGTATACGTAAATAGTTGAAGAACGATAGATTGCTTAATTTCCACTATCATATTCTGTTAGTAGACTTTTGTATTTCCACTAACAGGCTGCTGACAAGAATTTTATAGCAGGTACTGTTCAAAATTTGTCTTTATAAATTTGACTAAATTATGCAATTGAATATGAAGTGTTTCTGTCATTCAGCACCGTGAAATCATTGATCGCAAAATTACCGCCATATTGTAATCCTCAGGTATATAGATTTGAAAATAGAAACGACCACCGATCCAATATCCTTCGTCTGGTACAATTAAAAGCGTAAATTCGTGGAGTCGATGTGGGTCGTTGAATGAGACCTGACAAGTGGCTGGCAGCGTCTGTTCCATCTCCTGCACCTGAATGAAATAATATACATCAATTACAGGCCGATACTTACGTAATGTATGACCACATTGGAAAACTACCATAATGTCAAATACCTCTTTGACCAATAATTTATCACGTACGGAGACTCGCTTATTGAAATCTCTGTTCTTTGAATTTGATACATCGTTATCTTTCTTCAGCTTGCCTCGTAAAGTAATCATATTAAGCCGTGCTGGTAATTCCTATTTCACAGAATCCTGTTTCACAGAAAAATAAAATGCGTTATCATTCTTCCAAAATCTGTCTGTGAGGGTTAACAAAAATAAAAAAAAGAAGCAGAATCTCAAAGCATGTTAGAGTCTTGTAACTTATTATAAGATCATTGTCAAATTTTAATTTTCTTTTTTTCTTATTGTAAAAGCGTCTTACCAATCTGCAAAATGCTGTTCAGTCATACGATTTATCGCATCTAGGTATGTCAGTTTTGAAAATATAATTTCTAGGTTAGAAGCATGACACGCTTAACCTCCGACGGCACGACATACCTTTCGTTGCCGAGTTGAAGGACCTTTGTTTCTGTATCACCTGAATTATGTACGTTAAAGTGTCAATAAAGGGGGCTCATCTCATAATTTGTATTTATACGTTTAATTGTACACCATAAATAACCGACAAAATCATAAACGCTAACGTACAACACGAAGTTCGAACATTACGTTAATATCTCTTAAGCCCGTATCAGACTATGGACTTGAAGATTGAGATGAATTGAAATTTGACCAATCAGTGTAGAATTCACTAAATTTCACTAAATCTGAGTTCAGTTAACTTTACATTGATTGGATAAATTCGTCGGGTTTACGCGTATTTAACATGCAAACATGCGATATAATTTATAAATATAATTTTAATTTTTCAGCCTTAATTTTTTTGTATTAAAGCGTATATAACTAATACATTGCTCTATTACTTATCTTTATGCCTACGCTTTGTATATATAATTTCACAGCTGTCAGATCATTGAGTGGTCACCATTTTTCGTTTAACTCGAAATATTTGACGAAAATTAACGACAACATTAATATAGCTAATGTGGTTAAAACTACAGACTTCAAGCTTTAATGTGCTTTTTGAATGATCTCGATAGCATCATTATTGCGAAAGTTACAGACTGATTAATTTCGCCTATTTTATTACAATGGAAAGTACGCCCGCCCTTGAGTCATACTACTTGAGAAATAGAAAGTACGTCTGACTCCACCGTTATAGTCATATCACGACCTTAATTTCTCGTTAAGTATAATGGCGGCTCGTAGCGGAGGTTCTGGAACTAAATTTCAGAAATAACGGTTCTAATAATTCTGTAAACCCGTTATATTAATAATGTTCCTATAACAGAAATAACGGGTTTACGGAATTGTTAGACCCGTTATTTTCGCAATTTAGTTCCAGAATCTCCGCTACAAGTCGCTACTATACTATACGGCCGCGCGACGCTGGTATACGTTGTGGTTCGGTGCCATCATTGGCCTCATTGGTGCTATTATTGGCATTACTGTTTAGAATGTATTGCGAAAAGAAAGAGGAAGAAGGAAATGGCAAAGTTATCGTACAGTTACACACCAGATTACTTTTCTTTGACGGATATTTTGTGCACGGAGGAAAGATTATCGTGTAAAGTGGAGGTTACATTACCTCGTTTAGGTAAGTTTATGCGGGTTTCGTTATTCTTCATTTTACCGCGTCTTTTAGTACGTTAGAATATTAAACAGTATTTATTCGTTTTAAATAAAATCCTAACAATAAATAAAACTAAACGGAGAAACATATTTGCTTCGTTTAAAGAAGGAATTTCTGTGTCTCGCATTTAGCCAATTTTATATGTTATAATAATACTAATGTCTTTGGATATTAGTCGTTTAAAATTTATGTTATTTATAAACTGCTAAGAGAATATTTGTAACAACTTTATATGCTTTGTATAGAATATATGAACTTATATATAACTAACTAGTTACTGATATTATATAATATATAATTAGGTTTCCTGGATCTTTCTTCTGAATCAGAGGATTTAAAGCCAGGTACAAAGTTGGAGCTTCCATTATGGCTGGCACAACCACTGAATATTTCACGAGAACCTATAGTCAGCATAGATATACCAAAAACATATAAAGAAGGCTACAGGTATACATATATATACAGTAAGACCTAGTTTAACACAGGGAATACGTTTCAATAAGTTCCAGCGTTAAACGAGCTCATTTTAACCCATTTGCATTATGACTCTACTTAAGTTTCTGTGTTCAGACATCAGCGGCGTTCAACTGACGGTTGGCCCGTATCACCGGCACGGCCGTATATCGGCAGTTATTATTTTCGTTAATTTCTACAATACACAGTTAACTTCTACAGTAAATGACTTCCGAATAGTTTGCAGAGTTTATTTAACATGGTATTTTGTGAAATGATCCATACATAATGCTACATCGCAAACATTGACAACAAAATGTAAACTGTGTCATATGCGGAATATTCCGCGAGCGGTGATAAAAGAATATTCTGCGCTCGATGGATAGGAGACAATCGTCATGCACGGAATATTCCGCTTACGGATACAAATGGTTATGGTTGGTGCATGCCCGCTTCATTTGCACACATATACAACAAATACCGCGTGCGATTTCAGGGAATCTCACTACTACCGTGTAATACTAAAACAGCGTTAAGCGGGATCTTACTGTATTATATAATAAATTCATGGAAAATTTGAAATTATTTTTCTAATAAATTTTTTCTTTCTCTCTGTTTTATAGAGAAATCTTATTAGCGGATGCATGTACCGTTGTATTGAATAAATGGAATCCATTTTATTATGAATTAGGAATGTACTTGAAAAAGTTCAATAATCGGGATTGTGAAATGATTGTCGATAGTTTATTGCTGGTAAGTGCTGAATTAGTTTTAAGATTGAATTAACTGATGTTCACACACATTGCTTATATATAATTATACAATTTCCAGACCTTCAGATCACGATTTAGATTGGTCATGGACTGGGCACAGAATCCTATTTCCGACCCCACGCTCAACAATTTACTGCCAAGGTTAGAAAGAGAACTATTCTTTGCGGGAAGGAAGGCCAAGCAGCAACTGAATGAATGGCTGAATAAAGGTTCGAATGTTATCGAAACCTCGCAAAGTGCTGTGAATCTTAAGAAACGTAAACGAACAGATTACGAACTCAATTGAGAAACATAATACGTGAAGAATTCTATTCACATTGTGATTGTTATATATGTATACATTGACTAATACAATTTTAATGTGGTTAATTAGTAGATAACAAAACACAATGTGTATAATAATATTAAACAAAATTTATTTTCTTATAAATTAATATGACATTGATCCTTTACTTAAAGATAATCGCGTTTTACATGTATAAGTAATAAGTAAAAATTTTATTTACATATATTTTTTTATTTACAATATATATGGTCTCAGTCACATACGAACTGTCAACAACATGTAGAAAGAGTCATATAACAAGAAATGGTAATATCTACTTCACAACCCACGACTAAAAATTAAGATATCCTATTAGATACGTTTTCTCCCCCCAACGTGTGTTCTACATTTTCACTGCGTAATATTCTATGATTCACCGATATATAACATGTCATTATCAGCAATAACAATCCTATATTTCTTAATTGAACTATATATCTCTAATATATTTCTCCTCTATCTTATGTGTTGAAACATGCTAACGTTTCTTAAGTTTTCTTCATACAAAAATAGAAAATATATCTATATCTTTCTGCCATAATTAGAGCGGTAAAATAGCATATTGCTTTCTTAA